CAATTTTATTAATAATTAAATTAATATATTTTTTAAAAAATATTTAATATTTATTTTATAAACATGTTATAATATTTTTTTATTAAATATATACTTGAGTAAAAATCACTTTAGTATTTCCTTTAATAGTGAACAATTAATAATGTAAAAAATACGATAAATGTACTGGTTAAAATTTCTTACAAATGTTAAAAACACTATCAATTAATGCACACCCAACATAATTTATAATACTTTTTTTAACTTTATTTTGAATTTTTTTAATTCATTAATCAATATTTACAGATACATGTTAGAAAAACTCATACAATGTTATATATGCCATAAATTTGAGCTTGGCATAGGAACAAAAGTGAAAAATTTTCATTAAAAATGTTGTCAATTACCACCTCTCATAATTTTTAATGCATTTTAATGTAATTTAAAAAAATTACTTTTCTATTTTTTAAACAGTGTCCTTGGAGCACCGATTAGCAAAATCACAATTTTTAAACAATCTTAATTATGATGAGATTACCTTACCCGTGTGATCAATAGTTATAATTCAGGCTACTTCGGAGTTACTTTATTTTTTTTTCTTTTATCCTCTGGCAGTTTTATTTTATTAAATTAATATTTTTTATTTTATTAAAGATAAGACCAATTGTTGTTTTAATAAAAAAAATTTAATGCATGTCCAATGAGATAAAATAAAAGGTTAATAAATAATAAACTTTGATCAGAAATTGTAACATTTACTATCATTAATGTACAAAATATGTAATGATATTATTTTTAATAAATAAATACTAAGTATAAGGTTATATTATATATTTTTAGCCACATTAAGAAATTATTTTATTAATCTTAATCTCTAAGACTAAGTTTAAATATATAAAATTAAAAAATGTTATTAAAAAAGTAGTTATTACATTAAAATTATAAAAATGCAATAATTATTTTTTAATTAAGTCTTACTAATATTATTTTTTTAAACATGATCTTAAGAATCGAAATTAATATTTTTTAAAAGTTTTTTTTAATTTTTGTTCAAATTTTTTAAGTAAAAAAAAAAAAAGGAGTAGTATGAAACCATTGGACCTAATTAACGCAGAAATAAATGCGCATTTAAAAATCAGTGAAGAAGATGTGGGCAAAGGTGACTAAACAATGATCAAGCCTAAAAGTAACAATTAAGAAGTTATTGGTTCTATTAATGCTGCCCAACGATACGAGGGACCTAACATAATTTATGTCTTGTTAAGAAGCTTCTTCATAATCACCTGGAGCCAACAATTAAAAAATAATAATAATGTTGTTTTAACATCGTATAATTAAATTATCAAAAGCACTCAACATATTAAGTAACATGTTGAGCAATAACGACTAATAAATTAATGACAAGATTTAAATTGAATATCATATCTATTGTTTATGTTGTTCTTAATTAGAGTTAAAATTTTATTTTAGTAATGTGTATTTTTAATATTGGCATGCTGAATCTTAATGCTAATTTTTATGATAAAAAACTCCAACTCTAATTAAAGCATGATATTAATAATATCTAGGATAATTCATTTAAATTCTAATTCTGTCTATACTATAAATTGAAACAGTTATCCGTCACTGCAACACCCTACTTTGACCTTAAAACAAATTGAGGACATTACTTAACTGAAATTTAAAAAACATTATGTTAACTACTTTTAAAAATATTTATGAAAACAAAACTGAAACAAATACGTAATAATTATTGTTTCTTTGTGTACTCCCTTTCTCCTACGTATTTTCCTTTTCAAAGGCATCGAAAAAGAAAAGCATTTCTACATTTATCTTGTAAATTTCCCCTTGCATTATAATTATGAGTATTGCTCTTATAGTTTTTTAAATGAAATTAAGTTTTTATAGTTAATGTAAAGACCTACCTTCGATTTTAAAAATAACTAAAGACTTACTGTACATATATTCTTTACTTTCCCATTAAATTATCATTAAAAAATTTTAAATTTATTTAAAGTATGCAAAGTCTATTAAGTTTATGTTTCATGTTTAGAACAACATTAAATATATCTTGTATACACGTGTCCAACATATAAGCTACAGTTGAAAGGTCAGAAGATTAATATTATTAATTCTAACTTTTATATTAAATTTAAACACAATAACAGTGTTTTTAAATATATTTTAAGACCTATAAACAAATATCGTATATAAAATTATAATTTTTTAAATTACAAGTACAATAACTATAATCTTCAACTAGTTAATTCACATGTTTACCTCCATTTTATATGTTTTATTGTTTAAAAATTTTACACACGGATTAAAAATTCATTAATTATTATATGTTTGACGAAAATACTTTCATTTTTACTTTTAACTAATTCATTTAATTTGTTTTTTTTGCTATTGAAATTCATTCATTTATTTTTGTCTAACGTTTCAATACTCACCTTTATAATATATGGACATTAATAAAATTGAGTTAAATTACCTTGTTGGAACTTAATATTTATTTTTATCATCAATGTTTATTGAAAATTTAACAAGTACATATAATGGAGAGAGAAAAATTAAAATTAATAAATAAAATATGAGGTTATTAATTAATTAAACTATACATTTATAATTATTAAATAAGTCTTAAAAATTAAAATAACAAGAAATGTAAAACAAAATCAAGTGAATAAAACAACAAAATATGCGAAAATGGAAGGAGTAATGCAGAAAAACGTATCCCTTATAATTGGTCAAAACCATGATTCAGGGCTTAAAATCGAAAACTCATCGCGTAGTAAGTTACGGTACTGGCCCCACGGTGCGATGCCATTGGGACTTGGCAATTAATATGCATAACTGAGGATAAAAGTCCAACCACTTTCGCATCAACGTAGGATTCAATCACAGATTACGGTGCAAGCAACATACATGCGAGAGGGGGTGTCAACGCGTCGTGGATCTGTGTTTTATAGATTAATAAATCCAATGACAACTAAGCTTTGAGGCCAAAGAACAACATCAAGACATGAGTCATGACATCTTGCTGGCAAGTGGACACTTACTTAGAGTCGAAAGTACTGAATGAGACACCATTTACAAATGCACAAAAAGGAGGGGGGATTTTTATTTTTCCTTTCAAGTTTTAATCTCAAAATTGATGAAAACAAAAGGAAAGAATCTGTTCCCGCCTAGCTAGTTGTCACCTATCTCCATCCATTTGTCATTTTCTTGGATTATAAGTAAGATATATGCATATTTACAGTAACCCACATGCTAGCATTGTTCTCTGTGACTGACTTGGTGGCAGTGCCGTTGCCTCAGGAACTTGCTCCACAATAAACAACACTTTCTCTTTATTCTCTGTCCTCAATAATTTTTGCATTATTTAGTTTGATGACAAAATTATCATCATCATTGATTCATTCATATATGGTATAGTGAATATCATAAATTAAAAAAAACAACGTAATATTTTTTTTTCGCATAGGAAAGTTATTGAATAATCTCGTGACAATATTATTTTTATGCTCTAAGGCTTATATTTATGTGATAACTAATGAGTGGTGATTTAACTATTTGTATACATGCTTTCGCTTATAGGTCTTCACAGTTTTAGGTTCGTGTTAATTTAGAACTAGTATTCTTTGATTGGAACTTATTGGCAATTGAATTCTTACTCTTTCGGTCGTTCATGGCGTGGTTTCATAAAAAAATTGTTAATTAATAATAAGCTAGATTTGAACTTGACGATCGACGTGGAGGAAATAATATTTTATTTATGTTTATTTTTCAATAATTATCAATTTTAGCTAAGAGTGGAAAATAGGTATATAAGAACTAAAAAATAATAATAAATTGTTTGAAACATAAAGTTAAAAGACCCTGATTCCTTGCTAGAAAGGAATAAAACCGTTGAAATCAAGGAATAAATGCATGAAACTAATGTGAGATGTAATTAATCTTTTATATTATAAATTTTAATTTTAATTTTTGAAAACATGATAACTTCTACGCATTCTCTTTATTATGAGTATTTATTTTATTTTATAATATGTGTCTCGAGAATTTTTTTATAAAAATAATAATGTTTTCTCGATAACTAGTTATTTTATTCAAAACATTAAAATAGGTTAGACTACACAATTACTCGTAAGTATACATTGATATAGATTTGACATACTCTACATTATTTAATTTTTTTATTAAATAATTTTTTTAAAACTCAATATTAGATTAAAAAAATTGTTACATAAATTATATTTATACAATTTTAGATAAATTTTAAAATATTCGATGCCCCATTTATACATGTCAAAATTAATATAATATATCCTTTTGAATTATATGAAAAATCATTTAATTATATTTTACAGTTATTCAATGTTGACATAAATAATAAAGTAATATATATTTATAATTTAAAATTGTAACTAATTAAAATGATATTTTATATACAGCTATTATAAGTGTAAGAGTGAATTTTGGACTATATAAAAAATATCATTTAATTGTATTTTTTAGTTATTTAATTTTAAGAAAAATTAATATGAATAATTATAATTTAATGGTCAAAATAATAAAAACTATTTTGTATAAATTTATTAACAATGTAAAAATGAGTGTAGTTTATGTTAATTATTAATTGTACACAACAAATAGTTGAATATTAAAAAATAAACATGATTTGTTTTTTAAGTTCTTAGTATATACGGTCTTCGTTATCTCTCTGACCATTTTAGGCGGAAAAATGTCATTTGCAGCGATTTGTTTATTACCAAGAAACGTAGAAACATACTTGCACAGGAAATTAAGCATACGATAGTTTCAGAAGTCTCAAAACAGGAATAATGAAATAGCGTGACGAGTGTTAAATAGTTGATTGGGTTACAACTAGGGTCTCCTCCGGGCCCAAAACTTGAATTGGGTCTGAACCTGGTAATGTGCAAGTGCAGAACCAGGTAGAGTCTGTAATATCAGACGTTGACCCAAAATAAATACAGGTATTTGGGTGGATTGCAAGCAACGTGGAAACGAAAATAAATAAAAATAATAGGGGTTGTCAACTAGAATACGATGTAACAAACAATCCAAAAGGAGAAGGCAAGTGGATTGATTATACCGGTTATTGATTTCGATTTTCGAACAGACACTCGTTTGGCGAATAAATACGAAAAGTTGAAAAAAAAATGAACAAGAAAGCTTTGTCCATTTTGATGCGCGCCAGAATGAAGCCCAACGATCGCACCAGCCTTTCGCTCTCTCCTCTCCCTCTAACTGTGAGAAATCTTCTCACAGTTTCAATTCAGTTCAGTTCTTTGAATTTCGCCTGATTTTCACTGTAGATTTGGCTCATACACTTTGTTTTGATTTTATTTTCCAAGCAAATCGATTTGATGTCTGCGTGAATCTGCTTTGAATTGGATTATTGTTGACTTTTTTCCTTCGATTGTGATGAGTGTACAATAGAACGCGGCGAGTCAAATGCAGCAGCAGAATTCCCGCCAAAACGACTCGCCAGGACAAGGAAATTCAGCGCCGAAGGACTCCGGCGACACCGAGAGGTTCCTAATTTATTATTATTATTACTGCTGCTGCTGCTGTTGTTGTTTCACGTACTTCATACTTGAGTTTGCGTGCTCAATTTTTTTGGCTCAATCTCTTATTTCATTTGTGTTGTTTTGACTTATTCATAGAGAATTCAAGCGTGCCCGTGCCTCAATGCACTCTGCAATTTCAATGAACAAAACGGAAGTTCTAGATGACGTCCTTAATAGCTTCTCGGAGGTAATATGATTTTAGATTTTATGGCAATTAAACTTTCTTAATTTGGCTGTATTATTGTCATCGCTTATTTCATTTTCACAAGCTGGTAATAATGTAGGATTATTTTAGCCTTGCTCGTGAAAACCGTCGCAAGTTGCTCCTTGTCCTTGCTAGAGAGTATGATCTAAATAGATCACAAGTTCGTGAACTTATAAAGCAGTATCTTGGACTTGAACTTCCTGCAGGTGAGTGATTTTTATGGTGAATGTTTGTTATGTGTGTACATGCTTGTGTGTTACTCTCATTATTACTTTCAAAACTGTGGTTTGAGAAAAGTGATTGGGTTGGCAGACAAAGCACAAGTGAGTGGTTCTGAAGAAGATGGTTTGTTTTCTTCTTTCTATCGGATTGAGCGGAGTTTGAGGCATGCCCTCCAGCCAGTTTATGAAGTTCTCTTTGAGCGTCTCAACACTCATCCCGGAGGATTGAGGTTCTTATCCATTATTCGAGCAGATATCCTATCTATTCTCGCGTAAGTTTATGGCTGATGCACATGATTTTACTTCGAACAATTTTCTATGGCTCTGTTTCATTTAATTTACTTATCTTACAATGGCAGCAGGAGCAAATAAAAGAAATCTTAGTTCCTCGTTGCTTCTTTAAAATTGAGTGGGTTCTATGTTAGAGAACTCAGATACTGATTGTCCTACAATCCTCTGCATAGGGCTTTTTGCTATGAGGACCTTTAAATAAAATAACGGTCTAATTATAAATTTGGTTCCTATGTTTTCATTTTAGTTCTTACATGAAAAATCATTTAATGAATTAGCCCTTGTTGTCTATTGAAGTTATAATGACAATAAATTTAGCGGCTATACTTGATATCTTTTTTTTCATTTTAATCCCCATATGAAAACATACTGGACTTCATTTTGGCCTTTGCATGAATAATACTCTACTTCCTTCGTAACTTTAGTAAATGGTGGGAGCAAATTTGTAATCCTTTTTCATATAAGGACCAAAATGTAGGTTTTTTTTTTCCCATGTAGGACTGAAGTAAAAAATGAGTTTGGTGTAAGGACCAGAATTATAATTTAATTCCTGGGGAAAAAGACGAAAGAAAGATAAGACAAGGGTTCAACTTTGCTTTCTTGAACTTTGAATATGATGAATTCTTCCATTACACAGAGAGGAGAATATTGCATCATTGAGAGCATTGGATTCATATTTAAAAGAGAAACTTAGTACGTGGCTTAGTCCTGCTGCCTTAGAGCTTCACCAGATTACATGGGATGATCCTGCTTCTTTGCTGGAAAAAATAGTTGCTTATGAAGTATTTTTCTCCTTTTAATTTCTTGAAGTGTCATTTAATATTGGTCTCGTCTTCCATTGTATGCATAATCTTCTGTAACTGTGTAGGCTGTGCACCCTATTAGCAACCTTCTAGATCTTAAGAGAAGGCTGGGAATTGGCCGTCGTTGCTTTGGATATTTACATCCAGCAATTCCTGGTCAGCAGTTCTTCTCTACAACACTTGGTTACTGAAAGACAATTCTCTACTTGTTACAGTTTTATAATTTACACTGTAGTGATTGTTTACATCTTTATTCAATATTATGAGTCTGCATCAGCTCAGAAAGTTAGTGACAGCAATACTGAGAGAACAGTGGTTGCTTTTAAGGTGATTCTGTTACATGGGCAGTATGATGCCATTTCACTATTTTCATGTCAAGTGTCTTGAAAATTTAAATTTGGTGCTACTGCTTTTCTACACTTTGTACATGATTATTTTGATCCTATGTGACCCAATAAATTTCAGTGATTGACAATGTTATAGTTACATACCTTCGCTCAAATATGTGGTCTGGAAATAGTGATAGTGATTAATGATTAATATGTTATTCAGAATTAAGATTTATGGGAGTTAATGTATTATTGGAAACATTAGAATAATACGAAATAGTTTACCTCTTTATTATTGTTCTTGTAAGTGCAAAAATGTGTTTATTCTTTTATGTTTATATTATAAACATCAAGGATGACGAGTGCTCTCACTCAAGCAATTAACATAACTACTGTCTAATTTCAAAAAGTCTGTTCTTAAAGTTTCAAGTGTGTTAACCTATGTTATCTGGTCTTTTATTTTTCGTCAGGTGAACCCCTAATTTTCATTGAAGTTGCGCTACTGAAGAATGTTGCTCAGACTATACAGGTTAATTTTACTTTAACTTAATTGAAACATACCCTTTTTCAGTAACCTTGTCTAAACAATATTTCTTTGTTTCCCAGGAAGTTTTGTGGGATAGTCCTCCCATACCTGAAAGTGAGGCAACATGTGCATTGTTCTACTCTATATCATCAACTCAGGTATTTATATATCATTAAAGTAATATAAATTTGCAGCTAGTGGAAAATTGACTATATATAAAAAAAATGATAATTATGTAATTATATCATTGTGAGGCTCAGTAGGATCATTCTTAGTGAAAAGTGAACTGTTTATTCTTGGGCTTTTTTATCCAGCTTGAATTTATTGCTATTATTTGCTTAATTTTTCTTTTTTCCTTCTCTGTTCAGTTTTTATTTATGTTTACACGTTAGATCTGTTTGCTTTTCTGTTTACACTACTGCCAATTTCTCCCACTCCTGACTCCGTGAAGAATATTAATGCTCCAGATAGTTTTACTCCTAATTGGGTATAATTTTTAAAATTTTGCAGCCTGGCTTAGCAGGGATCAACTTAGGAAAATTTCTTATAAAACGTGTTGTAAAACTGGTGAAAAGGGAGATGCTACATATTTCTGTAAGTATTTTACAAATTATGTAAGCTTTCTGAATATGAAGAATAGAACCAAATGAAATTTATTACTTCATGGAATTTGTGAATGCATAAGATTTATCATTCTATCTTCAGCTTTTTCAACTCAGTTTCATACTTTTTTCGCTTGGATTTGATATGAATGCCATTTTCCTCAACAAAATGTGTTGGTCATGTTTTTTACTTTTCACTTTTGATGGGGGGACTTTCCAAGTATATTAATATTAGTACTAGTTTATGTTTTCATTCTTTAAATCCTAGTTTCTAAATTTTTTCCCTCCTTTCAAAGTATATTAGCATATGCCAATTTGCCCCAACAAGTCTATTCTCTTCATAGATATTCAATATTTGAAACTTTTCTGTGTGTATTGCATTTGATCCAAAGGTCTGAGTTTATATAAGTATATAGGAATCTATATTAATTAAAAAATATCACCTAATATAGGTAATCCTGATGTTATGTTCTTAGTTACTATATTTACATATCAACTAGTCTAATTACTATATTTACATATCAACACTCTCAAATTGATATCTTGCTCCCATTATTGTAGAAAAGTAGAATCTAAAAGTAATATGCTTTATCCCAATAATTGGACACTAATGTTATGAAAATTACTTTACTGATGCCATATTTTCTATACTGCAATTTCTTATATATTAAATTGTACTTGTGCCCTCTCACATCTTATATTACTGACCAATAAGGTTTTAGACCTTTGCAACTCTCAGTCCCATCCCTGGATTCATGTCGTGGCTTATATCCAAGTTAGCATCTCAAACAGCACTTGTTGAAGGAGTCAACTTGTCACAACCTCAAGCAGAGGGATCCAGTTCCACTTTCTATGAAAACATACTTAAACCTGAAGAAGAAGAAACACTTATGAGCTTACCTAAGTAAGCTACTTACTGTTCTAGTTTCATATTTTATGTTATGCTATTCTTGGATATTAATTTGCAATGTCACTAGTAACTTAGATGGCAATTTTATATTATCATCAAGTAAATCGTCCTAATAGCTCCATTTTTTATCATATTTTTTTTTATCCTTTAATGGTGAGCCCAATTGGATCTGGGTTCCCAATGTATTGAAATAAAATTAGAAATTTTATGTGTAGTTGTTAGAATCACATGATTTGATATGATATGATATGATTTGGAAAGTAAGTGACTTGTATTATGTTATGAATCACAAATGACTTTGAACTGTGTGATACAAACATGAACTGGTGCAATTTCACATCGCCGATAGAAACCACATCAGTTAGGCATTTGGTTCTCTGTTTTTTTTCTTCTTTCACCAATTCTTATAAAAGAAATTGAATTGGTATTCACCGTAATTAGCTGTTTAATTGGTTTGTTTTAGTTTTCAGAAACAAAGTCTTAACACAATATAGGCACCTTATTTGGCTATATCAATGCTCTGTATCATTCTTCTGAAACATAGGCTTCTTACAGTCATTTTATGTGGCTTCAAAGGCAATGACGAGGGAAGAAGGATGTTTCTTGAGACCATTGTGTTATTCTTGATAATAGATTACATGTATAATGTAATTATCTGCAACTTCCACAAAAAAAAATAAAAATTGTGAGGTGGTGAACTTAGGATGAACTACCATTTAGTAGAAATATGCAAGAATTATGCCTTATTTATGAGTTCACTCTGTTACTTGAGTGTTATAGGTTTTATCCATTTTGTAGGTTGTCATTTTAAGGAATCATTTTTAGCTGTAGTGCACTCAAATTTCTTTCCCTACATGCCATGGCTAGTAGAGATGACGAATAATGTTTATAGTAATTTCTATTTTCTTCCCTAATTTGTCTTTGGTTTCGCTATCATGTGACTAATATCAATATGAGATGCAGGGATCTTGTCACTGGAAAAGATGGAATGGAAGTGATGTTCAACTTGCTTACTTCAACATCCTACAAGTGGATCCATTCACCAGAGCTTTTGTCAGCATTGAAGCCCCCTTTGATGCGTTTATGTGCCAGGTATTGGAAACAAATTATGGGAAATTAAACAAAGCCATGCTAGAAATGACTTCTTCAAAACGTTGATCTAGTAAGTCATGGAAAAAAGTAATCAGATAACTTCTAGGATTCTTTTTATATTACAGATACCTTCTGCAAGAGAAGAAAAGAGGAAAAGCTTTGGACTCTGTTGCAAATTTTCACTTGCAAAATGGAGCTGTAAGTCTTGCGACCATACTGTGCTAATAAACTTCTCTGTTATTGGCAATGGTATTTTGTTCCTGAAACAAGTAGTTTCATTATAGTACATCAAACTCTTACATGCTTTTATATCTTGGATGATTTTTTCACTGAAGACATTGTGTGGATTATGATCTTGGCATGTATTTCTCTATAATTTATATGACAAAACTGGGTGTTTTCATGTAGTAAATCTATGTCCTAACCACAAATAACCTGCAGTTGTAACTTGAGTAAATTGGCAGAAATAAATTTTTTGCTTGTCAATATGGAACAGATGGTTGAAAGAATAAACTGGATGGCAGATCGATCAGAAAAAGGTCTTTCTCAAAGTGGAGGGATCATGGTGAACTATGTCTATAGGTAATTGTTTTCTTGAAAACTTTGGAATCTGGATCTTGTTTTGTTTGTATTGAAGTATATTCACGGTTATACTCATGATGTCAATTTATTTTGTGTGCCCTTTTGTTTGTTCCGACAAATCTTGTTAGCTTAGTTAAAAAGTTCCTCTTATTCCACTTTGGTTCTGGTTGTGAAGATGGGGAAGAAATCTTACTAATAAAAGAAACATGACTGTACTGATCAGTTCATCTTTTATAGATGCTTATATTTATTAATATTTGTATGATTGGATTTGAAAAAGATCAATTCATTTTTAAATTTCCCTTGATCAAATTTGAAGTATATGTTGCTGATGAGACCTAATTGCAGGATGGAGCACATAGAAGAATATGCTCATTCATACTTCAGCAGTGGCGAAATTCATACCTCAAGTGATCTTCATCACTGTGTTGAGGTAATGGATACTGCTTAATTCAAATTTGATAGAAGATAATTTTCAACTTGTTTTAAAAAATATCATATGTGCAAGTAGTGTGGAAACAAAGCTCATTGGCAGCAGACAACCTTATTATTACTAACCTTTACCTTTCTTGTTTCCCTAATCTATTTGCTGTCATTTGTGGCCATAGAGTGACAAGTAATCGTGAAGTCTACTTGGTTGAAGTATGATGGAAGGTTTTATTAAAACAATGGGACAAATGCATTTAAGTCTAAATATGAGGCAGCTCATTGCGTCTCTAATCCATTTATTTGGTGAAATATGATAGAAAACAGCTTGCTTAATTGCCCTACTTTATTTGGTCGTAAGATGATGGAGGGCTACTCTTGCACCAGAGGTACGTAGAAGAACAGCTATAAGGAATAGATCATGCTCGGTAAACCTCAAGCTATACAGTGTAATGTAATATATGTCGTTACTAACTTACTATACTGACAACAAACCCTATCTCTTAGTGAAGAGTGGGCTACTTTCCGAAATTCAATCGTGTCATTTGGAGTTCATGAAGTGTAAACTGTCACAGAGGAAATCATTCCTCGAACATTAAGGGTTGGAGGTAATATTTATTGCTTGTTTCATCCTTGGACCAGTGTTTTCAATTTCAGATGATAGGAAAATTAATTACACTTGAATCGGTCAAAGCTGTCTTCCGAATCAGGCCTTAAAAACAGCATCAGTATTTGTCTGGGAATAAGATGTTTAATACACGCTTGAAATGGTCTTATTTGTAGGTAGCAGGCAATTCAGGTTCTCCAAGTATCCCAATAAGTCAGGGAGGGTTTAACTATATATTCTATTGATTATCAATTTGTATTACAAATTAGTCCAAACATTACTAATACTGGAGTTAGAATAGATCGAAAACCATGTAGACGAGTTCTCTCCAGTACGTATAAGTATTAGGTACATTGTGCCCAAGCTTCTGTTCGATCAGAGGGAATAAAAGGGCAATCAATATTCACTTCTCGGTTTCAACGGGAGTGGTTTCCAAGACATAATCCCTCATAAGCCTCGTGTTAGATTCAGTGACCATCTACAATACATAAAGCCACAAACAATCCCATTTATTATACGGGAAGTTGAATTGATTTCAGTAGGATCAAGAAAACGTGATTGAGTTACAAACCTTCAAAGCTAGGCGCTTCAAGTTGTCCCATTCAAAATCATTTTTGCAGTATGCTGATCTCACCTACAATAATCCATCGTAGTACTTAATCTGAACTTGGTCAGCGGGTGATTGAAAAACAAATAATAAGTAATCTACTTACCTCCATTATGCGTAGGGCTATTCATGTACACGCCAAAGCCACATAGCAGTTTGCAAGATTTCGTTCGTTCATTCACCACAAAAAAATAATTATTGTAAGTTAGACATTAGATACCGATTAAGGATTAGGTAGCTTGATAGCTGTCGTTACCTAAGTTCTTATGTCTTGATGATTCTCTTAACATACTGGCGCAGAACTTGTCACCATCATTCAACGAGTTTCTACCCAAGAATTCCATTAGCTCTTCATATGCCTCACGATTATAGCTCTGCTCAGGGAAATAATTATTGACAGATGATATTATTAGAGTAAAACAGAGCATTAATTAATAAAAAAATGAGTTTAATTTTAATACATTGTTATATTGCTATTCACAGACGTTTCCTTGCGTATAATTTAATGAATTTAACAACAGATCGTTAAACGATCTCGTCAAACTTTTTATCAGGACATTTAATTTAGAAAAAGAAATATTTTATACAGACAACCTAAATTAAGTTGAACAATAGTGCATCAAATTAAAGCGAAACACATTATTTTTTAGCCTTGGATATGCACATTGATAATTGACTTAAAAAACTAAAGAAGTGTGCAAGTATGGGAGGTATATGTGTTTTTATGCCTAGCTCTATTAAGTTCGGTTTATTAAGTCCAAAAATTGGCGAAATATTGGATATTGTATTACTTTTTTTTTTTTATTAACACATCAAAATTCCAGGAGCAATACTTTTTCTGAGAAAAATGTTAATAATACACTTATTATCTTGTATTTTAAAAACATTTTCTCGATGAAATTTCCTTTCAAATGCTTTCTAATTTTTATTGAAGAAAGGGATAGTTTGCTTCCACCCTTTGTCTTGGAAGGAATTGAAGATATAATTCGTACTTGGGATGGCAATAAAAGTTCTAGAGTTGACGATTTTAACTTAATATCATTAAATGATCGTTTTGGTAACAGGAGATTTGAGGCTATGTTTAAAAAAATTAATTTTAGGCAAACTTACCTATAAGTTTTTGTTCCTATTTCTTGGCTTTGGTACCCAAAACCAGATAACCCTAAAAAAAGTGACCATTGTTTGATTTCTCTGATAGGTGCTTGTTTGAATAATATCAAAATTCTTTGCAAGAAAGTTAAAAGGAGTTATAAATAACCAATTAGTGATATATATAAAATTATTTTATTTTTAATTAGGCTTTAAATTTAGGATTATCTTAATTTTTATTTATTTTTTAGTTATTTGGGATCATCTTAAATTTTGTTATAGTTTTAGTTTTGCATCAATTAAATTGAGTCGAAAAGTACACACCATAAAAGAGTACTCTTGTTTAAAGAGAGTATCTTCGGGTTACAACTCTACATCAGTCATCCTTTCTCTCAAATAAAAAAAATTCAAAACTGGGTGGTGCTCAGTAATGGGGTGGTAGGTCCAACTAAAAAGAACGAAATGAGGTGTCTATTCCTTATGCATTATTTAGTATGAAGGAGGGGAGGAAAAAAATGAGTAATTTGCTATCATATCCTCTATATATATATATATATATATATATATAGGTCCAACTAAAAAGAACGAAATGAGGTGTCTATTCCTTATGCATTATTTAGTATGAAGGAGGGGAGGAAAAAAATGAGTAATTTGCTATCATATCCTATATATATATATATATATATGGAAGGGAGGAGAGAAAAAATGTAAGGTGATTTAGTCAGTATAATCCTAATATTATAAAATATTTTCCTTCTCTAAATCTCACCGAGGAGAGAAAATAATGGGAACGAAGGAATGTTGACCACCTTACTTTCCCATAGGATCCATTCCTAGATATAAAGGTTATAAAAAATGTTCTTTTAATTTTTATTTCCTTCCAACCAAACACTATCAAGATGGATTTCGAAAATGCTTACAACTTAGAATTGTAATCACCATGAATGATCCTGGATAAAGCCTTTATTTTCTTAGGAAACTTTTTGGTTCTCGTTAATAGGAGCCTTTGTAAAGAAGCATAATATCTAGGGGTCTCATGCAAGGAGATTCTTTAGCTCCATTCCTCTTTTTGATATTGGTCAAGATTCGAGTAGCTTGACGGGTACTGTAATATAGCTCAAAGGATGTTTAAATCATTTAGTTATAGGACGGAGTTGAAGTTTCACATTTTCAACAGGTTAATGTCAATATTAATTAGAGAAGCAAATATTTCCACTTTGTGGTGTCTAAAGTATATAGGGGGGAATTTTCAATGTGTTTGGTTTGAAAATGTTTTGGTAAGCGTAATCTAATTAGTATTGATGTTGAAGATGAATTCTGGCTAGCATTTTGCCTCAAAATTTTTGAACTATAAGATCTGGAGCATTCCTTTTTATCATTATTTAGGCTCCCGGTAAATGCCACCCAAGGAAGAATTAATATATGGTAGTTTGTTGCTGACTCTTTAAAGCGGAGAATTTCCTTTAGGAAGGAAAAAATTTTGTCCCTAGAAGGTTGCATTGTCATAATCAATTTAGTGTTAAGTACCCTTTCAACTTATTGTTTGTCTTTTCTTAAAATGCCTAAAAAGGTCTTGAACACAATCACTCAAATGCAAAGGAAACTTTTATAGGGTTGCAATGAAAGATAACTTGAGTTAGATGGGAAGAGACATGTAGGACAAAATATGAAGGTGGTCTTGGATAAAAATCCTCAAATAGTTCAATGCTAGCATATTGGGGAAGTGAAGATGGAGACTACTTAATAAAAGATATGCGTATTCGTATAAAGTTCTAAGCTCTAAACATGGATAGTCCATCCATAACTCATTCGATCTCAAGAGCAGGGGGAGTTCTACAAATCCATCAAGTTGGTGGAAGGATACGTGTAAGGTGGGGGAATCTAATGGATTAACCCCTGCCTAATTTTTTGATGGTCTGATGAACACAATAGATGATGGCAACTTGGTTAACTTTTGGAATGGTGTATGGATCGGAGGCAAAGCCCATTTCTTAGGCTTTATTCACTTGCTCTAGACAAAAACTCATATTTTTCAAACTCGGGAAAATGAGAACAAGATTAATGAAGATGACCAAAAAGTGGAGAAGGAAAAATTTCTATAGGAAGAAGAATTGTAATCCAAGTTATTGGGTGTGCTTCGATTGATTATTTGTTGAAAGATATAGAAAACATGATTTGGTCATTTGATTAGGGATGCACTCCTTTGAATATACTTTCATTTGGTTGCAAAAGTAGTGTTCAATTCTCATAAGAACTCTTTCTATTATAGGATCTGTCATTTTTACCGAAATTATGGAAAAACTTAACTCCTTGGTGAAATCCCATCAAAAGCAAATATGCTTAGAGGAATATATTCTTAACAACACAACTTGAGTGTGTTTTGCTCCAATCACCATCAAGAGAGCATCTGGAACTTATTTCTTCAGTATGCCCATGTATGCTTATCAATTTTGGTCCCATATATTTTCTTGGGTCCGGAGTTTACTTAGCATCTTCCTCCAATTCGCAAGATCAATACCATTAGTTTCAAACGGAAGCAAAGAAAATGGACTTGGTAATTTTATTACAGATAAAGACTAAAAACACATTTTATAAACACAAGTTTATTAAAAATTCCTTATTTTTGCTTTTTTTATTCTTAATTTAATACTTTTTTCTTCATATTTTTATAACTTTTAAAACATTTTATTCGATAACTAAATGTATTAAAAAAATGTATTCTTAATGTTTTTCTTTTATGACATAATGTTATTTAATTGTCTTGAAAGCTCTAGAAAGGAATTATATTTAAAAATGAATCTTTTAATCTTTGACATATTGATGTTGTACTCTTTTATAGAAAGCGATAAATATTAACTTTTTTTTTTTAATTTGACCCATCATAAAGGAGAAAGAAAACTTTTGACATTTACACATTATAATAATGTTCATAAAAGTAAAATATTATAAATAATCTAATACATTGTAATAAATAATAATATATATAAATCATATATTAAAAAATATCTAACATTCTTTTCGGTGAAAGTATAACAAGTGTTTGTGTTTATTCACCTTATAGATTGTATAAATCAAGGTGTTCGGGAGTTTTTAAGATTATGAACCATCTGTAAATAGTTAGAGTATTTCTTAAATTCCCTTAATACATTTTGACTTATCAACAGAAAATAAAAATATTAATAGGATCTACATGAAATTTCATTCAATAATAAAAAGTGTTAATTAGAAAGCTTCAAGGAGAATGTTGAAAATAATTTTTGTTTAATTGGTTACATATATTAATTAAAAAGGTATTCAAAGTTTTTAATTACTAAAAAGTTTGAAGTATGCAAAGACTAAACTTGCTGGTATATACTATAAAATTGTATGCATTTTTACGGTTAAAAATGAGAACAATGTTCAATATGAACTGTTGCTCCAAAATATTATGAGAGTTCAGATAAATAACAGGACAAAGTATCTAATATTAGTCGGTAAAAGCCATTAGCTAGTTAATTCAGAGTTCTGTGGTTTCAACAGCAGCCAGTAATTAGAAACAATATATATATATATATAACTAAAACAAATACTAAGAAAGCCAATAAGCAGGAGTGGAAAAAACAGAAGGAAAAAGAACCTCAAGTTGCGCAGCAACAATCTTAACAGCAACATAGGTGAAGAAATTGTGGAGGTTTTTAGCACCCTTTGCTTCTGGTGATGCTTCTCCGAATCCTGGAATCCAGTACAACATAGCAAGAAACATTTTACTGACAAATTTGCATAAAGTGAAATAATACATAGTAGGGTAAATACAATCCACCACAAAGAGGAAGAGGGACAAAAGTAGTAATCCAAACCAGGTACAAACATCTTGTTGCAGTGTAAGCGTGTTGGTTGTGAGCTCCTTTGCTTGCAAGGCCAAAAAGGATAAGCCTTGTAGCTTGTGGGTGTAGAAGGGTAGACACAGGGAATCTGAGACAGTGCTAGAGTTGCTGAGGATTCCATAGCTGTAGTGAATTGAAGAAAGGCCTTGGTTTTGGTGAGGACAAAAAACTGTGAAATCTATAATACAATGATGGGTTATAGGCTCTTCAAAGCCAAAAATATCTACAGGCTTCAATCCACGTAAAGAAATATCTTTGAGCTTATGTGGAAAAGTGCAAACTTTTACATCCATGGTGGAACCCACTATTCCATTTTTGCGTTGAAGGGGAAATGGAGCCTCGTTTTCTTCCTCAATCGCATGTTCTCGTCGTGCTCATACGTGTTTCTCCCTCCATTTTTCTTCAACCTTTTTTCTTGGTCTCATTGAAAGGTCCAGAATATAATCCAAGTTTTCGTTAAATTCTTTGAAATACCCCTCTTCATTTCTTTCTTAGTCAAACTACATCTAAAGATTACTTTTATTATTATTATTATTATTATTATTATTATCGCACTCTTACTTTATTTTAATTTCTTATCGTTAATTGAATTATTAGTTATTTTGAATATTCTTTTAGTTAGTTTGTTGTAAATTTTTTTAATGCGGGCACCAAATATTTTGAGTTTATGTGTCTATTATTTAATATATATTTTTTTACTTTAAGCCTATTATTTATTTTCTAAATTTTCTTGACGCTATATACGTACCTAAATGATATATAACAGTCAATAATGAAGAAAAACGAAAAGAAGTCAACAAACCATCTTATAGGATCCTAGTATCTAATTTTTCACCTCTGATATTTATTTATTAAAATATTAAATGAATACTAAATATTGTGGAAATTAGTTTTTAAAAGTATATTATTGGGATAAAAAATCCATTTTTATTATATAATATTAATGAACAATAATTAAATTATATATTATTCATAAGTTTAATTTTAATATACTATTATAAGTATAACATTTTTCCCATTATTAATTGATTAAAAATTATTATAAATTAAACTATTTAAATAATTATTACAAAATCAATCATTTATATTAAATAAAAATATAAAAATTATTTATACCATTGGTATATTTTAATTAAACTCTAATAGTTAATAGTTTACAAATCAGGCAAAAATATTATTTAAAATAATTGAATTAACAGCAATAAATTTAAATAGAATTAAAAATAGTATAGACCATTAATTAATTTGATAAAAAAGGAAAATAAAAAACCATTTTAGAGAAATTAAATATTAGTTTATTAATTTTTATAGTCCTTCGTTTTCTTATTCATTACACTTATATTTTACATACAAAATTATGTTTTTATTGTATGGTTTACTTGTCTTTTTCTTGGTTCATCTTTCTCTTTTTCTTTCTCGTAAAAGCATATACATATATTAGCCACCAAGTGCCCAAGCTTACCAATCATCATAGACTCGATGCATCACCATCCTAGTTATTCACTCAAACTCTCATGGTTGGCACCACAATAGCGTCACTACCACTTGTTGGAGCACCTGCAATCACTTAATCTTTGTTTAAAAATTTAGAGAAAGAAAGAGAAAAAATTTAAAGAGCAAAAAAATAGAAAGAAAAGAAAAATTAACAAAAAAATATATATTTTAACTTTAAATTTTATTAATCTCAGCTCTTAAGATTGAGTTTAAGTATCTACAGATAAAAATTTTTTATTAAAAAAGTACACATTTATTATATTAAATTTATAAAAATATAATAAATATTTTTTTCTAATAAAATTTTATTATTATTAGCTGTTTATCTTTTAGGGTTTAGATAACAAATAAAAGAATTTTAAAATACAAGTTTACACAAATTTATAAAAATTTTCTCATTAAAAAACTTAAAATAAAAAATATTATTAAATAAAAATTAAAAGTTTGTACCATTTGATTACAAAGTGACATAATTCTTTAATTTTTACTTCACATGAATTATAACCTTTAGAATTCTAATATTCGCCCATTTGGAGTCGCTCTCCGTTCCCTTTTCAGGTGAAGCTCGGAAGTCGCATTCCATACGCGATCTCCTAATTTTAAAATTTGAACTACGGCAATGATTCAAAAGAAATATAGAAAAATACCAACACAAATAATCTACAATGACAAGAAGAATCGTTCAACACAATACATAGATCACCACTTTGACGTCAATACTGGTAATATAAAACAGAGGTGCATATAAAATAAACCGAATTCCTAAACCTCTTATGCCAATTAATGAGCTCCAATTAACAATAAGCTCACTATATTCCTCCTCCATCCCCTAAAGCACAAAATGGCCACAAACACACACCAAAAACCATATCCCCTTATACATGTTTTTCTTCTCTTTGTTTTGTTGATAATTACGAGAACCCAAGGTAGATGCTGGTCAGGTTGCAACCTTGCTCTAGCTTCCTATTATATATGGGAAGGCACCAACCTCACTTACATTAGCAAGCTCTTTGGGAAGCCCACGTCGGAAATTTTGAAGTACAACCCAAGTGTTCAAAATCCAGACGTGATTCAAAGCCGAACGCGGATCAACGTGCCCTTTTCGTGTGACTGTTTAAACAGTGAGTTTTTGGGCCACACTTTCTCGTACACAACCCACCATGGTGACAACTACGGACTCATTGCCGATGTTGATTTCTCCAACCTCACGACGGAGGATTGGGTGAGTAAGGTGAACCGATACCAACCTCATCAGATACCAGACAACGTCAACATCAATGTCACAATCAATTGCTCCTGCGGAGACCGGCACGTGTCTAAGGATTACGGGCTGTTCATGACGTACCCACTTCGGGTGGGTGAGAACTTGCAGGGGGTGGCGGCGGAATCCGGTCTGCCGGCGGAGCTTCTGCTAAGGTACAATCCAACCTCAGATTTCAGTGCTGGCTATGGACTCGTGTTTGTGCCGGCCAAAGGTAGGTAACCCCAATATATTTATGCACTCTGCAATTGTGAGATATAATATTTTGTTTTTTTTTTTTACTAATTACGCGAGGTTGTCTTTTGTTTGTTTACGATGCTTGTTTAATTAAGTTAGTAATTAATTATCTTTAAAATAGTTAGTAATTAATTGTTTTCTATTGACCAAATAATACACTTATTAATGCAAAAGCTGCACATCATTATCTTTAAAAAGTTGCCCATTGTTTGTTCTCTTATTAATTATTTACCCAATAATTTATTCGAGACACACAGAGAGGGGTAGAAAAAAATTACACCAACTTAAGTTAAACTAATTTTTAATAATTTTATGTTAAGTAATTTTTTTAATTTAACTATTCGGTTTGAATTATATATTCTTCATGTCAATTTTTTTAAAATTAAACAGTTATATAAATACGATTAAATGAAATATATTTTTATATATTTTTAAAGTATATATCATATTAATTTTAACGTATATAAATGAGATAATATTAAATTTTTTAAAGATGATATATATGATAAATTTTTAATTTAATGATTGATTTCAGAATAAAATTGTATATACAAACGATTAAATAATATAAAAATTAATGTAATTTACACTAGTATAGTTTAATTTATCTTGTATGAGTTAAAATTTGTTTACATTAAATATCAAATTAAAATATTTTTTCATTAAATAAATTTTTATAGAATGTATCAATTTAACTATTAAATTATGTAATATTTTTTTATAAATTATTCATAAGCCTCTTTCAAATAGTTTATAAATACAATTTGTTAAATATTAACCAGTATCGTTAGGATAATATTTAAGAAACTAAAATTAATTTTTTGGAAAAAAAAAAGTACGTCTACTTTCAAAATTTTCAGTGTAATCTAATATAAATTTTAATAAAAATTATTATTTTTAATTCTTAGTAGTACACTTAGGACATTAGAAGGATCCATACATTTTCTCTGTGTCAAAAGGAGTTCATTGCTTTTATGTTTTATAAATTAAAAATTGTTTATATTATTCAATGAAATGATATTATATTATCTATATTAAATAATTTATATCATTCGATCAAGTATTATACAAAAGAATAAATAAAATAAAAATTAATATTAAAATTACGTTATGATGTTTATATCTTTTTCAGGGGCATAATTATCGATCGAAGAAAATATCATTTTTTTTTGTCAATGATTTTATATTTCTATTATATCAAACGAAAAAAAATTATTAAAATTCTTTAATATTTCTTTCTTTCTTTCTTTTTATTTGCTTTCTCAAACCAGATGAAATATAAAATTATTAAAATGTGAGCAATCATTGAATAAATGCACCATATGCTTTAAAGCAAATCCCTAAATCAGATTTGTTTTTCAACATTAAAGAATATATATGGGGTACAAAGTGCAACGTTGGTTCGTTTGATTATGCCCTGTCATAATATACGTTGCCCCATTCGCCATTGATAACCAAAATTGAGCAAAACACTTTGAAAAACACATCCAAACGAGTGACTCACTATGTTTGTTTGTATTTTTTAAAAAAGTTTTTTTTAATTAAAAGAGAAAACTCATTTTAAAATGCAAAAACACATATTCTTAGCATTTTTAAGTGATTTTGTTTTCATTTTATTCTTTCTTCCAAAATTTTGTATTTATCATGCACAATTTTGTTTTGATAAAATTAAATATCGATAAAACTTTTTTGTTTACACTTTCCATATCTCGTTAGAACAGTTTCATAATCACATTTTGCTATCTCGATAGCCCGGTCAGCACTCTACAGTCAACACGGTACCTCCTCGTTCATAGCTGCTTCTCATATACTTGTTGAGTACTGATATTTTACAGTTAAATAAAAGAATAGATTCGGTATATTCCGTCCATGTTTGGAAACATCAATCTTGACAGAACACAGCAATAAAAAAAGCGGATTTTCTTTTATATTTTATTAAAGACGATTAGTCATCTGGCTATCAAACAAAATAACACAGATCACACTTTGTTCATATATAGTCATTTTCTTATGATTATTTTGTTGATCAATACCAAGACCAATGACCAATATTTGATAGATACCGTAAAATTCTGATTATTATTTTTTAAGATACTTTCATTGAATGAAAACAAGTAGAGATAGGTCAGCCGTGCAATAAAAATTGCCACATGATTGTCTTTTAGTTGATTTTCTGTGTGTGTAAAGATAAAATTCCAAATTAGAAGCATGTATAATTTTTGTGGGTCAATATCATTATTAATTATGACAGAGTAGTCTTATGTAAAGAAACTTGATGTCAATGTACAAATAATAAGACTTTAACTTTGATAGACTATACAGGTAGGGAAGTTGAAACGTTTTCCATTTCTTCCTTATTAAGCGTTCCTTTGTCGTTGCCAAATTTAGTAATATAATGTTGACAAGAATATATTTAATGATACAACAGTATATGTTATAAGAAACTAAACATACAAAAATTTGTATACTTATGATTTTATTTAGATATAAGTAACAGGGAAGAAACCGTACCGTAAGTTAAGCTCCAAAAAACGCCCAAAGTCAAGAGAGATCATCATTTGCATCAAACTGGGCTATCCCAAAGCAAGTGTAGCAGAGTATCTAAATGAACATGAAAAAAAAAGAGTAGCTAATTGTAAAACAAACGAGAGAAATTATTGTTTTGGGTCACTGTGTCCTTTCCCAATTGGAAATAATATTAGCTCTTTTCTTTTTTTCTCTTTTCTTTTTTCAAATCAGTAAACGAATTGGGATAATAATTTTCAAATGAATTATAACTCGATTTAAATAATTGAGTAAGTGTATGAGAAATTTAGTAAATTATTGAAAAAAAATGCAACTTTACTTGGGAAAAAATTAGAAATTACATTTGTGGCCACTTATCACTTGAGATTCCAAATTTTTTACAACTGCATTTGTAGGAGAAAGAGACTGCATTGATGAATTTAGCGCCTCTCATGTTTGTTTGGAGTTGAAGTTGATACAGTTTTATTTTCTGATATCTAATACTTTTAAATCCTATTTTGCAGATGAACATGGAAAGTTTCCACCACTTCAGCTGGGGTAAGCTGTAATTCATATTATGTTTACATCGCATGTTGGCCAAATTGCTTTGAGCCTTGACATTTACTAAGATTATTTTCTTTAAGCTGTCTAACCCCATCATTTATGCTTGTTTTTTGTACCCTTTTGCAGATCAGGTGATGTGGACATTGATCAAACTGCTACTTCATAAATGTTTACAGAAGAAATGTTAACAATACATTTTTTGAACATACTTTTCAGCATATTTTTGCGATTGGTTTATTTTATGAAAAGTCAAAACGCACACTTGTCTTCAAAATTGATCACTTTTTAAAAATTCTTTTTGACTTTTTAAAAAATAGACATATCACAATAAGTGTGTTGAAGCATGTTTTCAAAAGAGTGTGTTACTAGCGTTTATCTTGTTTATACACGCGTGAAGCTCTCAAGACAAATCATGGTGGGTTATATTGCAATGAGATGCTGACATGTTATACAAATTTAAATAGGAATGTCTAGTGGAGCCATTGCTGGCATAGTTGTTGGCGGAGCTGTTGGGATCTTGTTACTTTTGGCACTTACTCTGTATGTTGGACTATACAGAAGAAAGAAAGTGGCTGAGATATCCCTTCTCCCTGTCACAGGAGCATCTGAAGATCAGTATAGTCAACTCCAGCATGGTATTGCTATGTCTTTCTGTTTTAATGCTTTACTCATTTATTTCTTTCTCTTTGAAAACGTGTATACATAAGATTCAAAAACGTTTCTTTCTTATTTTATTAATTATGATGATGATTAGCTGCAAACTGTTCTTCCAAGGAAATAGCATGATTTAGTAGCTGCTGTGTTTGCCATATTTTGGCTTTTGATTGCTTATTTATTACTTGTAATATTAATTCTAGACTCCATATTTTTTCAAATAAAATGTGAAACTATAAGTCTTATCTGTTCCATGGATTTAGGTTGTGGAAGCAATGATAAGGCATCAGAATCTTCTGTTGTTGCTTCTTCTAGGTTAACAGGTATTACAGTGGACAAGTCTGTGGAGTTTTCTTTTGAGGAGTTAGCCAAAGCTACTAATGGCTTTAGTGTGTCTAATATAATTGGTAAAGGTGGCTTTGGATCTGTTTACTACGCTGATCTTAGAGATGAGGTTTGTCCTACTCTTTATAACTTTTTCAAATTATGAGAAATAAGAAATATTTATACCACCAAGCATGAGTAATTATTTCCCAATTCCAATTATAAGGTAAATCCATTATTGTTGCGGAAAGATATTATTCCTGAATGCTTCCTATCATGTCTTGTGGTTTTACTTTTTGGTTGAGATACAATTCAAATCAATGTGACAAGAACCGAAATTCTTGAGCTGAAAGTTTCATGCAACTAGCATAATGTACATTCATCTGCCTAATGCCAGTTGCGACCCACACTCAACTTCATCATAAGTCAATTGATCTTATTTGAAAACAAGAAGAAATTTTTTGAACATTTTAGGGGCTTTAGTTCACTACTAAATATGCATACCATGGTCCTGCACTACAAATTATTTTCTTTAAGCTTAAGAAAAGTACTTATCTATTGTATTAGATCCTATTTCATCGAATTCTGATCACAACTGGTCTGAAACAGATCTATTGCAGGAAATGGAAAAGTCAAGTTATTACTAGCACTTGACTTTTTTTTCCTTGTTTTTCCTTTTCAGAAAGTTGCAATTAAGAAAATGGATATGCAAGCATCAAATGAATTCCTTGCTGAACTTAAGGTTCTGACACATGTCCATCACTTGAACTTGGTATGACATTTTCCCTACCCTGATACTATTCCAATTTTGTGGCTAAATAATTTGTACAATGTACCAAATAAGGGAAAAAAAACTCATGAAATAGTTTAATATAAACGATATTTTTCATTCTTTTCTTGCATGGTCGTGTTCATTGTGTGATGTTTTCATTACTTTGTTGTTCTATTTTTTCCCCTTTTGCTAAACTTCTAACTATTAGATGTTGTGGATTCCGGTAGGACTTGGCTAATAGCCAGTAAAACTTTCATAAACAAAAGGATAAAAAAATCTCAATTAATCATTCTGTGCTAGTTGTGTAAGAGTTACCTGCTCACCTAAATTATTAAACGCGAATTATTACTTATTTCTACTACATGATTCCTTGCATTCATATTCTATGCAGGTGCGGTTAATAGGATATTGTGTTGAGAGCTCCTTATTTTTGGTTTATGAGTATATTGAGAACGGCAATTTAAGTCAACATTTGCGAAGCTCAGGTTTTTTTTCCCATTAATTTATTTATAAGCACTTCTTCTTAGAACCTGGTATTTGATTTCAAGACTGAGTATAGATGATTTCTAGGGAGGGATCCGTTACCATGGCCAGCTAGAGTTCAAATTGCACTGGATGCAGCAAGAGGACTGGAATATATCCATGAACATACAGTTCCTGTCTATATTCATCGAGATATTAAATCAGCAAACATTTTGATAGACAAAAACTTCCGTGCAAAGGTTTGCAAATACATCATTCCCAGATTTTTCATCCATAAATGTTGATTGGGGAGTCTAACCTTTTTCCTATAGGTTGCTGATTTCGGTCTAACAAGATTGACTGAATATGGTAATTCTTCATTACAAACGCGTCTTGTGGGTACATTTGGTTATATGCCTCCAGAGTAAGAAGCTAATCCTTTATTTTTCTACTGAGTTTCATGCTATGTTTGAGTAGAACCTACAGTTATTTTCTGTCATTTCCTATCTTTCATGTGAATGTTAAGTTAATAAAAAAAAATCTAGGGGAACTTCAATAAGGCATTTTTAATTTCACCAAACTCCACATGCTAATACTACTAGTCTACTACTATTGTTGTTGTTATCTATCTTTCGTGGTTGATCTTCACGTTATATTTTAATGCACTTGGTTTATTGCATAACATTTCTAAAATTTTCAATTCCTCCAAAGGCGAGGAGAATAAGGTAGAACTGAGCTACTATTTGTATTGTTATCTTTTCACACAACAAAGCTTCAGCGAAATTTTGAATAGAAAGTATGACTTAATTATTTAAAAATTTTAAATTATAACTAGTGCTGTTACTAGGAAACTGAAATTAGAATAGCAGTTACATTTCTCCCAGCCTCTTGGTCATGGAGATTTGACGAGTTAGTGAGCTCACTTTTGGCAGAACTAGCAAGTGCTTATGGATTTATTTAGTTGAGGTTCGAGAACAACGCGAAATTTTTGACCAAGTGAATCGTTTTGTGTAGATATGCGCAATATGGTGAAGTTTCCCCCAAAATAGATGTATATGCTTTTGGTGTTGTTCTTTATGAGCTCATATCAGGCAAGGAAGCTATTGTCAAGACAAACGAAGCCGAGAATGAATCAAAAGGACTAGTTGCCTTGGTTGTTTTCCTGGTCCCTCAACACTAGATGTAACTCCTATCTATCCCTTATGGTTCTTTACTCAATTATAGCTTGCTTGATAAAATGCAGTTTGAAGAAGTTTTCGGTCTGTCAGACCCAAAAGAAAATCTTGGCACGCTTGTTGACCCTAAATTTGGTGATAACTACCCTCTTGACTCGGTGTTTAAGGTAATTTCTTGTCTTATTTCTAGCGAATCAAATGGGAAATTGATAACTAATGATTTATTCTATTTTTTTGTTCACTTGTAGATGTCTCAACTTGCCAAAGTTTGTACACATGAAAACCCTCAACTTAGGCCAAGCATGAGATCAATTGTAGTTGCCTTAATGACACTTTCATCTGCAGCTGAGGATTGGGATGTTGGCTCCTTTTATGAAAACCAGGCTCTGGTGCACTTAATGTCTGGAAGGTAGCTCCTTGGGTGAGTGAAAGCCTGAAGCAAGTTCCTTAATTTGAGAAGATAAGAGTCCCAATTTCTAAACACTAGCATGCATGAATCTTTCAACTGTGAATTTGTAAATAAAAACAAATATGGCTTCATTAGTTTTATGGATAGAGATGATCAAATGGCCATTTCACCAAAGGCAAATTTTCCCCCTTTCCATTGAATGAGATGCGTGGCGTGATTATCAAGGTATCCATTTTGTCTTTAGCCATATAAACTAAACCGTAAAACAAGCGAACAGTGCAGAAAGCACTAGATAAAAATAAATGCAATTAAATAAATTTGGATTTCATTAAGAAGAAAGAACATTGACTAAGGTCCATTAAGATTGGTTTTTTCACATATCCATCCATTACAGCCATAGGTAATAGAATCATCCAAGAAATTATTCAAGCTACGTAACCACTAATTAACTTCATTCTCTATCCTACCCACACATGAAATGGCTAAGTTCTGAAACCCCTTTCATAATCTAACATAAAACTCAGATAAACTACTGCAGAGGAGTTTGATTTCGAAACGGCAAAACCAGGCTTGGAACATAATCATAGGAGAACAACCAAAATTTGCTGTTGAGAACTTCAGTAAGCTCTACTCGATTCTCTCTCCGATTATATAAAACAATATCAAAACATTCATAGTTTGCCAGCAAGACGAAATCCTCATTTTCAGATATACACAAAGGCACGGGAGGACGAGGTAAAGTGCTAAAAATTTGGAATTGCTCATAGCCAACATTCAGCAATCGAGTCCATGAACTTGTTACTCCGAACTCCCTCATTAGCCAAACAACAACATGAGTTTTCATATAATCATGAGAAAGACACAAGCAACCCCTCAAAACCGCAAAATCTGGCTCATCAAGAGGGGTTTCATCAAGAGCTTCAGGCATCAACAAAAATTCATAAGTCTCATTCCTTAAGTCATACGAAAATATTGCCAACTCATCAACAGTAACAGATTCCCATCTATATTCAACACACGGCTTGCGAAGTGCTAACCAATTAAGAGTGCCATTCAAAAATTGACCATCAACTTGACCTAGCATAGGAAACGTAGGGCAAGCTAAAACCTCTCTCCAACAATCGTCACCCAAGCAATGAACCCTTATTTCCCTTTTCTTCGCTTTAGGATCCGAAAGCACTACCACAACCTTGTAAATATCCCTCAAATCATCGTACCCTAACCCAAACTTGACAGAACAAAACGGTCCCGTTTTATAAGTGAACAAATCGAGATGTAAGCGCGGGGATACTTGAGACATAAACCTTGTGGCTGGGTTCCAAAACTGGATCCAGTATTCTTTAAAATCTACTCCATTCAAAGAATCACGCAAACAAACCAAACCATTGCAGACCCCAAAGACAAAGTATTTTTCGTCGTACCGGAAGCAACCATCATTGATGGTGGAAGCTGGGCTTTGGAGTAAACGGGGCACGGAGCAGGGTTGGGCACAGGTTTCGCCTTCATCCTTCTCGAGGTCAATGTGCTCAAACGTTAACAGAACGTGGGTGTTGCTGGGGGATCTTTGAAGGTGCAGTTTCGCAAAAGTAGGATCCATGATGAGAGAATTCCAAGACTTGGAAACGCACCTTAATTGCATAAGAATCTTCACCGGAACCCACAATAGAATTTCTGTGATAAGTTCCTGAGGGAGAATCGGAGGAGTATTTCGAGTGCCAGACATAATGTGAAGGTGTATTGTTGCAGATTTTTGGTCTACTTCACATTCAGTATACTCTGTACTTGAAAGGGTGAGGGTGACGAAGGGACTCCTCCGTCTTTATTTATAATCCTCCCACCGCATAATCTTTTCTACAAAACTGCTTTTTGTATATCTAATGCTCAATGAAAAATAATATTTATAAAATTAATAAAATATAAAATTATATATATATATATATATATATATATATATAAATGAAGCTTAAGTTATACTTATTTTTATATTCTTTAATAATTTTTTAAATGACTAAATTTTAAAATTAATCATTAAAATAAAAAATTCTAATAACATATCTTAGGTCAAATTTAAGATAAATTTAAAATTATTTGATGTAAAATTAAATTAATGTAATATATATTTTTAAACTTTATGAAAATATAAATTCTTTGATAAATATCTTATCATGTTTAATTTTTTTTAAAAAAATTATATATATATAAATATATTAATGTGACTAAATTTAATATAGATGAATTCTTTTTAAAATTGCTTAGTTAGGACATTAAATTTTTAATTTAATTTACAATCCGAGATGAGTCGTTTTAATATCAGCTTTAATAATATCAGTACAAATATAAAGTATAAAGTCTTATTTTTAAAATATTATTACTTTAAATATATAAATGTAAAAAATATAGGATTCAATGGAAATAATTCGGTAAATATAAATGACTCCAAATTTATTCTAAAAAAATTGATCTAATTTTAAAATTTAAACCTATAAATATTAACATGAAATTAAGACAAGTCGGCTGAAAGTGTTGTATCTACTTTTTTAAAAAATTACACAAATATAAGTTTTTTAGTAGAATTACAAAAATATTAATTTTTTTCAAAAAATATTAGTGGCAACTTTTGTTAATAAATTTTTTTAGTAAATTTTAATATTTTATTATCATTTTAAAAATAATTATTAATAAGTTTTAATTTTTTATATTTTTTAAAAATTATTATTGATAATTGTTAAGACTTTATCATTTCTTTTGGTCTTTTTATTTCTGACTTTCTGTATTTATACTAAAATAGCTAATAATAATATTTAAATTCTATATTTTTATAATTTTTCAAAAAATATTATATTTAATATAAATTATTTTTAGATATTATATAAAAATATATTTTATTTAGTTCGGTTAGTTTTGTCTGCAGTAAAAGACGAGAAAATTACGTAATGGGTCCCACATGATAAATTTATCTCTCTGCACCGACAAATTGACTTCAATTCTTGCAGGATTAATGCCAAATATTTAATGGGTCCTACATGGGTAATATTAAACAACTTTTATATAATATAAAATATTTATTTATTAATTAAAAATTTTATAGTATAAAATCTAAAATTTTATTTTTTTTTATTTTTTTTAATAATTATAATTTATGTATTATAATTTACTTATCTTTTTACTCACTTTCTATTCATCTAAATAAATGATGAGAATTATTTATTTATTTCTTCTTATTTTCAACTTATTTTTAATATTATATATAGTTTGAGTATAAAATTAATAAAATATAGTTAAAATTAAAGTGTGTAAGGAATATAATATATAGAATCAGTAAAGTCGTATCTCAGTCCAGTAAAATATAAAATTAAGCTTTAAATTTTAAGTTTCAATTAAATTCACTATATTTTAGTTTGATATGACGAAATTCAATGAAAATAAGTACAAAATTAAATTAAATTAAATTAATTTTTGTATAAGTAAATTTAATTTATTCAATAAATTTGAAATTTAACTTATTATTTATTATAATTTTTTTTAAAATTTAATTTAACATTTTAAAAAATTTCATTTAATCAATTAACTTTTTAATGACTTATTTTATATTAAAACTTTTAATAAGTTATTAAATTTCTTTATAATTATCAAGTTATTTATAAAAGTTGTAAAATTTATATATAAATAAATTATAAAAAATAATTCATCATTTTTAAATATTTATAATAAATTGATATATACTTTTTATTATTTTTAAAATATATATTTAATTTATATAAATAAATTACTAAATATATAATAAACAAAAATGTAAATAATATACAAGATAAATTAAATAATAGTAACACAAAATTTTTTAACAAACGCTGCTCTTTCATAAAGAATAGATAATAAGAATAATTTCAAATTCTAAGAATTAAAATTTTTAATTTGAAATTTTATTTATCTAAAAATTCAATTTATTTATTATAATATTATATTATAATTTTTATATAAAATTATTTCATATAATTATAAATTTTAAATAAGTCATTCTATTAAATGTTGAAAAAAATTAAGTTCAAATTTAATTAATTTAATTAATTAAATATTTTAAAAAGTCTATTACATAAATAGAACAAGTTAAGTTAAGATTTTAAAAAATTAAATGATAAAAATATATTAAAGAATTCATAAATGTAGGTTAAACCCAAAAAAAATATAAATTATTCGAACATCATTTTTATAATATATAGACATTAGCTAGAATTGGCTATAAATATAATATTTGTTAAATTTTCCAGTTATATAAATTTAAATTTAAAATCAGATTAAATTTATATAACTATAAATGCAGTATAAATTGTCCTTAAAAAAGAGTGGATCTAATTTTAAAAATTTACACATGTTAAAATTAACATTAAATTAAGACGAGTCGGTGGGATATGTCGTATATTGTACACCTTAATGTTTTGTTTGTTTGCACCAAATTTGCAATTAAAAAAAAACTGATTTAGAGGAAAAAATAATTTTTATTATATATTTTTTTCGATAGAAGCAAAGAAAACTTTGATGTTAACACTACAAAATGTGGCCGTTTAATAGAGTTGACCTCTCTCGCCAATAAACTATAGGGATTCAACTTTAAATTTGAATTTTGAATTAAATCTAATTATTTTTATCGTAATTTAATCAAACTATATAAGGCTAAGCCTGCAAAATACCCATAAATATGAATTTACCCATTATAGCATATTAGATTAACCATATATATATATATATATATATATATATATATATATATATATATAGTTGGAAAAATAGGGCTGCTCATTTAGGTTGACCTCAACCTGTAGGATAAAATTTAGTGATTAAATTTAAGTCGTTTTTTAGCTTTATCTTATCAAATTCAATACAGATAATAAGACAAGAAAAATATACACAATATTGAGTTTTATCCCCTTTTGACATTATTTTTGCAATCCTAAAATAGATAAAAAGAAAAATTTAACCCAAGACAAAGTGTTAGCCTCGGATTGGATAGTTTGTTTTGCTGCCTCTAATAATATCAAAATAATTATAATATTTATTAAATTTCGAGGTCTTATTTTTAATATGTAATAATTTTAAAATATATAAATTTAAAAAATCAGATTGAAGTGGCATAACTACAAAAGCAATTCAAATTTCTCCTAAAAATAATTAAATGTAATTTTAAAAATTTAAACTTGTCAAAATTAACTTTAAATAAGACGAGTCAGTGGGACATAATGTACTTTTTAACACTTTATTTGTTTGCATCGATTTTGCAATAATAGAATTTTAGGGAAGTGATTTTAGTGGAAAAAAAATTAATTTTTTAGTTCCGTTGTTTTTGATTTTGTAATATGAATTAATCTAAATTGTTTGTGGATTGTTTCTAATTTTCATGATTATTGTAGTTTTTAAAGTAAATTATTACTTATATATATATATATATATAACAAAAGAATGCTTTCATGAGGAGATGAGTGCTTAGAAAATTTGTAAAGTTTTAACTAGCACCTTTCATACGTATTCTAACATAAAATCTAAGAAGCTACATATAAATGTTAGAACTTAGAAGAGCTTGCTGGCAAATTCATCCATGGCAATGCCTTCCCTACGATACGAAGCAGATTTAGCGGCAAGCTCTCTCAGCTGAAAACCGCTTCTTCCCAATTGCATTGCCACTTTGTTTTAAAAAACCTCCCCGTTCTCTCTTTTCTCTACGTCTTTCTGTTCAAGTGTTGATTCAACCGTCTCTTCCAACAGATGTAAGAATCCTCCACAAAATCTATACATTTCAAAGACCATGCCTACTTGCACACCATGCTCAAAGGAGTTAACTACAGAAGCCAGTGATCCAGCCACAAGGGGAACCAACCATGACCCATTATTGTCCACAAACACTGATCCAAATGTTGCAATGCCCATGAGTATGGGGCCTGTGATGGCCAAAGTCTTGTTGATTTTCAACACCATGTTTCCTATTCTCTCATAGTCCTCAAAATCTTTTTTCTTTGTCACTTCAATAACTTCCCTCAGTTCCATCTCTAGTTCTTCATTCCATCCATTCATTTCTTCCATTTTCTTGCTCTTTGCTTTTCCTTCACGTTGGAACTGAGTGGAAGGCCACCATACAGCAGGTTCATATTTTGCTGGGAATTTTTCAAGCATAACACCCAAAAGTGGAAGTGGGTAAGCTTTGTCAAGAGCCAAAACCTTCTCTATTGCGTCCTTAACATCTTCCTCTGTTGGATTTTGTAGAGTTATTGTCGTTTCTATTTGGGTTTGAAGCTGCTTAAACAGTCTTGTTGCGTTTCTTTGTTCCTCAGCGAGTTGTGAGGGCTGAATCTTGTTCATAACGAGTAGCAACCCAGTGGCTGCAGAAAACAAAAGGGTGGATGATAGTTTAAGAGCCAATAGTGGTGCACCTGCACCAGAACACGTGGCAGCAAGACCTGACATGCTTGCGGCTGTGAGAGCGATCATGTTGATGCAGTTTAGAAGAAGGGTGTTCCAATTGTCACGTTGCTCCCCAACGTTGTGGTGCATTTCCACCCTGTCAGCTACGAATTCTAAAATTGAAAATAGTTTAGTAGTGGTGGTGGTTGTGGTCCTAGACTTGTTAAGAATCGTGAGATTATGTATATCTTCTTGTATTTTTGTTGTTGTCATATTCTCTTCAATTTGGTTCGTGTTTGTGGAACCGTTGGTTTCATGCAACAAATTTCTGATTGATCTTTTTGGAACTAATGAAAGCATTTGTTTGGGTTTTGAGACATTGAAAGCAGCATGTTTTCTCTTAAAGGAATAAGAAGAGATGTATATGGATGAGGTTTTGAAGGAGGCCATGGGATTAAGATGAAAGGGTTTTAATTAGTCAGATAAATGGAAATTAGAAAGTGGGTTGCCTGAAATCTTATAACACATCTATATATTAAGGATCCAAACCAAAATTGAAGGTAAGGGAAAGGGTCTGTGAACCAGAATGTTGGTTGACTCATGGAGGATTGGGTCCTTTTGCTGACCCTTTCTTTGTGTTATAGCTTTTCCACTTCCATTATCCCTTCCATTGGCTAGCCCCTCTTGAGTGTCAACATGGCACACATCGTTCGTAGGGGTTGGTTACTTGGTTACTTACAAAGACAAATTATGCGACGTGATCAACTTTGAACAAAGACAATTAACCTTCTATTCTTCGCTTATTATTCTTTTGATTTTAGTGAGAACGAAGTTTCAAGTTGGGTGTACTAATTGAAAGTACTCCCCGAGTTAATTTTAAATTTGATTAGATCAAAGCTCTACCTACTACATTGGGTAAATTGAATTATAACGTGTTCTGCAGAACAGACGAGTGATAATAAAATTCAACAATCCTTAATTTAAATCGTTTTGGTTCAAATGGGAATTCCTTTTTATTTGGGAGCAAGGTTCAAATTGGATTTTATTACGATGCTGACATCATAAGATGTTACGTTACGATTGAAAATGTCTATTAGTTTGAAGTGTTTAATTTTTCGCGACATATTAATATTCGGAGTGAGAGGAAAAAATATTAAAATGTATATTGTGTGCTTGCATTTTATTTAAATTAACAAATGAATTTCTGTCAGCAAGAAAAAAATGTTCGAAATTATTTTTTATATAAATGTTTAAAATGCCATTTAAAGTATTGATGAACATAAATAAAATTTATATATACCCGATTATTGGTGGGCCAAAATTTGTAAGTTTAATTCTTTAAGATATAATTTCAGTTTCAATTTTTTTCAGATTTTAAAATTGACGAATCTATAATAACAAGTGATACCTTCAGTCATATTATTATATTCGGATGAAATGTAAAATGAGTAGAAAGAAAAGAAGTAAAAAAAAAAATGATGAGAAAAAATAGATAAGAAATGAGATAGAAAAATTTATAGGGTCTATTGCTCCTGGTCAAGAAACATTCGAGTTTTCTTTTCTGAGTTTAGAGGTTTAACTTCTTTTCCCAGTGAAAAAAAATTGGATAAATGAAAGTAAAAATAGGAAAAAATATAGTTTATTTTAAATAATAGTGTGTGTGTGTGGTATGATCAAATTCATCTTAATTATTTTTTATGCTTTTCAAAAAGAACTTCCTTCATGATGATATATTGTTGATGGTTTTGTTGTTTTTTTTTTTTAACTGCATTTTTTTTAACGACATTATCCTTCTTGTGTATTTTTTGAAAATAAAATTGTAGAAGATATTCATTATTTTCAGAAATTAAATGTTAAAATTACTTTCATTATTTATTTTTTGAAAAGTGGTACTAACACAAAAAGTTATTGGTAATTGCTTAAGGGATTGTTCTTTGTCCATTGTTTATGGGCCTTTTCCGGTCAAGATTCTTATGGCCATATACTTTTTGGTTCCATTGCATATGGGTTTCAAGTTCTTCCATTTCCACGCATAACAACTAGGTTATTGGGCTCTTAACCTGGACTGTTATATCATGTAGAAAGCAGAAAATTTTTGTATCATTCTTTCTAGATTTTAATTAAAAAAAGTAATCTATAAATCAATTTTAAAATCAAAATTTTAAAAGAACATTTAATATATATTTCAATTAAAATTTTTTGAAAGATTTGGAAAATGAAAGATATCCAAATCCAATTGTTATTTGGAAAATGAAAGGTAGAGCACACATTGACTATGAATAATCATCGCAAGATTGGTAGGCCGGTTTATCCAATTTTGCTAAATAAACTAAAACCATTATTTTTTTCACGTCTAAAATCAACTAAAAACTTATCAGAGGACGTAGCAAAAACTTAGAACTATAATGAAATTCACCCATACACAGTCAAATTCCGTCATTGTTTTAACAATTAGATAATATTTTTTGTTGCTTTCTATTTTAAAGATACATGGTAAATTTTTAAGATTCTTTAAATTGTTTTTTATGTTAATTTTTTTATAAATTATATTTTAAAATTTTCTCTTAAATACCAATTACTTATACTCTTAATGGGCCTAATCTTAAACACTTTAAGATGCTTTTATTTATTTTTAAATCTATATTTGTACATTAACTTAAATTGTATTCTTTTGAAAATAACATAAATTTTGTTGTACCTTTTTTTTATATATAAAACTACTCACGTCACATTATTTTTTCAAATTTTATTTAAAAACAATTATCTATAGTACTTTCAGCGTCGAATATTTTTCAAATACATATTTTCAAGATTTTATATGAATTAATTATACGTACCTTTACTATCATTTTAACATTTTGTTAAGTTTTATGTAAATTTTGAAATATCAATAATGTACGAAATGCTTATCTAAAAGTACAATTAATAAGTTATTTTATTATAATAAAATACAAATAAATTTTACATTTATATATGTAAGTAAAAAAGTGATTTTAAAGTCATTTATATTTTTTTAATTAATGAGGATTAAAAGTCCACAAAACAAAAATAACTAATTATTCCAGGGAAACATACTCCATTCATCCTGATGAAGAATAATAAATAAAAAAGAAAGAGCTTAATAAAAATTATAATAATTATTTTTAAGATATGCTAAATTGATAAGGAAGTCAATAAATCTATTATTAATCTTCTTAAAAATATGATAAAAAATAATTATATAAAATTGGAGTAAAAATATATTTTTATCGTCAAAGATTTAAGTTTATAACGTTTATTAATCTTAAAATTAATCAAATGTATTATTAGCTTGAATCCATCCTTTCATTGACCTTGTCATATTAATTATAATAAAAAAATTAGGGACCTAACTTGCTTTTGAATCCTATCACAAATTCTCATTTGTCATTCTTAAAAAATACATTAAATAAACTCTTTTCAACTTCAGTCTTCAAATTTATAGAGATATCAACGTCCAACTTTAATTTGTTCATACAAAGAAGACACCACCCAATAATAGTTTATCTTTTTAAGTCTTTGGAGATAGAATAGTAAAAAAATAAATAAATTTAGTAATAATCCAACTTACATATCTCAAATTTTGAAAAAAAAAAGAGATTCACGGTTAATAACAAAACTATTGATAATTCATGTATCTATTACATTTCAAAATATGCAAATAGTTACAACAAACAAAATATTTTAATTATTTATTTCATTTAAATTGTTATTTTTTTAGATGTAATAAGAGGCATTTAAAAAACATTATAATTAATTATCATTTTTATTAAAACAGTAAAAAAAAAAATCAGTTATAAAGCAATATTTTTATCATCCATAATAGATTCACACGTATAATTGCATCTAGGGCAAATGTTATTATTAAGTAAATTTCTTTTAATTTTTTCATTAATAAATAATCTTCCATAAATAACCGTTCAAATAGTTTATTTTATTTGAATTGTTCATAATTATATAATAAAATTATTAAGAAAGGTGAGAACTTATTCTTAAGTACTTAATTTATATTTAACATAATCATTATTAGGTACAATTTTAAAAGAAAAATAATCTAATAACCTTGAATAATAAGTTTCTATTTCTTATAATATAAAATTTTAAATTATTTTTATCGCTTCAATAATTTAATATTATGGACCTGTTATATATATTTTTTCATTTGCGAAATTGGATCTGCATCACCTTCAACATCGATCAAAGAGTAAAAAAAAGATCTGTATTTATTTTTTTTCGATTTGATCAAATTTTAGAGCCTGAGTTTAAGATATTAAAAATTATTTATCCTACTATTATATTTTTGAAAGGGGACCAGATCTTGTTTGTCTTCAATGTCTTGCTTGCATTGGAAAACAGTGTCGTGTGTTATTTAGGTGATCCAATAATGTGTACATGGCGGCCAAGCGGGGTGCTGTTGCTGACGTGCACGGTATTCTGTGGGACCCACTCTCTCTCTCGATGTCAAAGAGAGCGGTGACGACGACGTATTGACGTGCCCGAAGCGTGTTTGTGTTTTTCGAAGACGCAACACCTGTCTGTCTCCACGAGAATGAAAATGGAGAGAACCAAATTAATAATTGTTGTGATTGCAAACATCTTCTGAATCCTCTTCTCAATATTTCAACGTCTTCTCCGTCATCACATGATATGTTTAGTGGATTGTTATGTTATACAAACAATAAAAACCAATAGCGTCGCGTCGAATGGCATCGGCGGCGAGGGGCGTCAAGAGACGCCACGTAATCACTAGGTTCAGCTGCAAGATGCTGTTCCTCTTCTCCGTTTCCCTCTCATGCGTCGTCGTTTTAACCATCGCGTCTCTCTTCAGGTCTTACTCTATCAAACCCCCAATTTCAATTTCTCGCGTCTTTGATGGCCCTCCCAAGATCGCATTCTTGTTCCTCGTTCGCCGCAACCTCCCTCTCGATTTCCTCTGGGATGCTTTTTTCCAGGTTTCTACCCTTGTTTTTTTTTTTTTTTAAAATTTAAAGTAGTCGAAAATTTTGGGGAAGATTTGATAGGTTTTTTTGGCAGAACGGCGACGTTGCGAGATTCTCGATTTATGTTCATTCGGCGCCTGGGTTTCTCTTGGATGAGTCAACGACGAGGTCGCATTTCTTCTACGGTCGACAACTGAGTAATAGCATCCAGGTGAGCTTTCTTTGAAACCGGTTGGTGAGAAAGCTATGGACCACTTTAACTTGTCTACAAAGTTACTTTCTTTTACCAAGTGAGAAATTGAAAATAGTTAATGTTACTTCTATTCTAAGCTTTTCTTAAAAATAGCATAACGGGTGCAAAATTTAGGGATCCGCTTTTCATAAATTTGCTCGTCCCTAGTTTTAAGGGATAGCAAATTGGCTCTAAAATTCCAATTTTTCATTCTGAATTAATGGGTAATTCTTTCCAATGGGTTAGGTTAGCTTGTTAAATGTTGTTTTGCTTACATGATGGAGACGTGTTCCGAATGAAATGTCTTCTTTTTTAATTTCTTAATTTTTATTTCTATCTTAGCCAAATCGCAACTTGTAATAAAAGATGTCCATGGGTGCTATTTTTCGGTAATAATCTGGTGACAGGAAGCTCTAATTTCTTTAGGCACTTTTTATTTTGCCAAGGATTTATGCTTCTAGCTTGATATGTGTGTGCAGATGTGGTTGAGTGGAAGATGTAGCATTGTCATGTTTTCTCCCGTACTTGAACGAGTTGTTTTGTTCCTTACTTATATGAATTCAGTGTTGCATGTTTTAGGTTTTATGGGGAGAATCAAGTATGATTCAGGCTGAAAGGTTGTTACTGGCAGCAGCTTTAGAGGACCCTGCAAATCAAAGATTTGTTCTTCTCTCGGACAGGTTAGTGTTTTAAGGTCTTCTATTAATTAACATAAGTTTCCGTTAGGCATAGTTCTTTCACTGTTTCTTTTTCTTTATTTTCTTCGTCACTCCTTCTCGAAGGCAGGGGTGGATTGGGACATGTGCCTATGGTTGTGTGAACTTACTTGCCTCTGAGTTTCCATTTTCCATGTGCAGCTGCGTTCCACTGTACAACTTTTCCTACGTGTACAATTATGTCATGGTTTCTCCAAGGAGTTTCGTGGACAGGTAGAAGAAGGCTTTGGTTCTTGAGGTGCTTAGCACTAATTCTTTTTGACCGTTCAATTGTAATCAGTCCACACTGGCAAATTTTTTATTTAGTGAAAAAGAGATGCTTTAAAGGTCGAATGAACAAGTTTGTTTATGTTGCAGCTTTCTTGATGCAAAAGAGGGCCGCTACAATCCAAAAATGTCACCTAAAATACCAAGGGAAAAATGGCGTAAAGGGTCCCAGGTTATTTTTCTTATTTTTAACTTCACCATGCCAAATCATACGGTATTTTATTCTGTAGTTTTTATTTTTTATCCGTTGATTAAATGCTGTTTAGTAGAATATTTTATTCTGCGATCTGTTGAAAGCTACTGTTTAGATGTAGCTTTTTCTTGTAAAGACATAATTTAAGCTGATACTTACTGAAGTAGAAGCATCATTTGGGCTTGTTGAAAGATTGATAAAATATGAAGGGGTGATTGCCAAACTCTAAAAACCAGATAACTAGATACAATGGAACCATTTTTAAGGGTTTAGGGTGATCAAATGCTCTCTTTGATCTTTTGGTGGAGGTAATTTTAAGCCTTGTTTCCTATAGGTGATAATATAGATTATTTCAGTTGAGTTGATTAATGGTTTAAAATATAAAGGCAAAGATATGCCTTCCTCTTTCAAAATAGTTAAAGGAAGATTTGGTTTTTGGTTGTTTATTAACTAAAGCCCGTGCTGTTCAACAGAGTTGATGTTGCTAAGTAAGTGCTTTCCGCTAAAGTCATTCAGTTCCACTTGCCATGTTGTGGGGGCAATATCTAATTTGGGTGTTTAAGCAGGTTTAGCTGTGAGATGCTTTTGTAGATATGAAATTAATGTTATTTGTTACATTGAGATTATAGGATAAAATTTTCAACTATGTGTTCCTATGAATTATGTCTTAATTTGTTTGTTTGTTTTTTTTAATTTGCAGTGGATCACCTTAGTTCGTAAGCATGCTGAAGTGATTGTTGATGATGAAGTTATCTTTTCTGTCTTTAAGAAATATTGTAAGGTATGTAATCAATCAGTAGTTACTAGTTGGTTTAACTACTGTTCTACATAGATTCTGATACTCAAAGTATTGATTTATTAAAGTTGCTTGATATTATATTTATTTTAGATTTATCTTATCGAATGCAAAATTTAACTCTTTATCTTACCTTACCATACAAGACCTTACTAATTACTAACTGTAAGTCTGTAATGTGTTACTACTTAATAATAAATAAAAACCTGTCTAATTTTCTTCTTTCTTGGCAGAGACGTCCACCAGTTGATACCAGAAAGGGAAAGCTGAATCTGGTTAGTGGTCTAATTTTAGTTTTCTATTTTTGTGTTGTTACTGGAAGATTGATGTTATCATAGGCTGTTATGGAAAATAGTGATGCAAATTCTTTATTTTTGATTGGAAATTAAAAATTCAAGGCAGGCTGGTTGCTCTGAAGTTAGGTTGATCATGCTGGTAATTCCAAATAAGTGTAACTGGCTCATGGAACCTCTATGGTCATATTCATGATCAAGGAAAGTTGTGGGTTTAATATTCTTGTAACATTAGAAAAAGGTTTTGAATTGAGAGTTGAAAATCATGTTTCAAAGCATATTGGGAAATTTGATTAGTAGGATTAGGACATTTGGTGTGATATTTTAACATTTGATGATTATTTCGCTGTAAGTGAAATTGCTATTTTAGCTTTTTGCCTTTTATTTCCATCTAATTGACTGTTCACACCAACTGAACAGCTGGTGAATGTGTCTTTTCTTCCTTGTTATGTTCAACAATATAATTTCTCTATTAAGTATGCTGAGATAGTTTGCACTATACAATTATAATATTATGATGCTACTCTGTACTCATTTTATAAAATAGTTTTTTTATTCATATTGATATTTGGTTGCTTTGGTTTTGGTGTAAGTGCAGAAACTTCAGAAGCAGCACAACTGCATACCAGATGAACACTATGTCCAGACATTGCTTGCAGTAAGATATTGATATTTATTCCATCATGGTTATCTATGGTTGTTTGGGGGATGTGTACTTCAATCCTATCTATTCTCTTCTTTATTGACAAATGACCTTGATATAATGATGTTGATGTGCAATAACTCTTCCAAAGATAGATTTGTGTGGATATTGTTAGAATCTTGATATGTGCATTTCTCTTTTCGTGCTTTCTTTATAGATGCATGGCCTTGAAGGAGAACTTGAACGTAGAACGTTGACCTATACCCTGTGGAACCAATCTGCTACAAAAATGGAGAATAAACGCTGGCATCCTATTACTTTCACCTATGCAAATGCTGGTCCTCAAAGGATAAAGGACATGAAGGTTCTACTCTGATGCCTCATACTATACTTAAGTGTAGATTTAGCCATTTATGGAGTGGATAAATGAGAAGACTCAATCTCCGACAATCTCTGTGTGTGTGTGTTGGGTTGGGGGGGGGGGGGGGGTTAGATTAAAATAAAGGAAGATTCAATTAATGAAACACCCTAGTGTCCTCTGTTGTTATAGCAGTGTTGTTTACTTGAGATGGTTGAAAAACTGTCATTGGAGTAAATAGAATTTTCTTGAAACTAGTCTTGGGGTGGTGGAGGATGATCAAATAATTCGTATTCTGTAATCAAAATGATTCGTATTCTGTAATCAAAATGTAGGATTTCATGATAAGGTTGAAGAAGTGCCTAGGTTAAGGGTTGAAAGTAATGAATGGTTCTGTTGGAGGAGTTGAATAAAGACTCAAATGAAAATAATGTAATACGATTATAATCTATTTTACTATTTTGGGCAAATGATTTGAATCATCATTTTTGTTTTGGGTTTTGAAGATAGAAATGCAGTTTAGATATCTCAACAATTATTTATAATATAAGAAAATAAAATGAATTAAAAAGTACATAGAATCAAACTTTTTTCATAAATAAATTCAAATCAACTTTGTGCAACTCAACTTCTGAAAAAGTTAAATGAAGGAGCTTTTAAAAATGTTGAGGTGCAAAAATTGATTTTTATTTATGGAAAAATTGGATTTATTTTACTTTCTTGATTTATTCATTTAACTAGGTGTTTATTGAGAAGTTTATCTATTTCTTTTGTTTTTGCTAGTGTGATTAGATGTTTTCATGCAACTATTTTCTTTTTTAACAGGGCATCAACCATGTTTATTATGAGACTGAGTCCCGGATAGAATGGTGTCGTACCAATTCAACATCCGTTCCATGCTTTTTGTTTGCTAGGAAATTCTCTCAAGGAGCTGCTATGCGCTTGTTGAGCGGGGAAGTTGTTGACCACTTCCAAGTTTCTGCTTTGTTAGCCACAACCCCCTGATTTGCCCTTCCGTCCAAAGCAGCTCTTAGCCCTATACTGACTATTGACTGACCTTAGACATATACCTCGGACGTCAAATGGGGTTGCCACAAGTTATATACAGCATACTCTATGAAAGCAGATTTTGATTCGTTTACTTCAAGTTAGATACAGCATACTCCCGACAAACAGATATTGAAGCCAAAGTTTGTAGCTGTGGTTGAAATAATTTATGGGCAAGTTAAAGTACCGCCGGATGGGATGTTATGAGCTGATAGGACCATTTTATCTAGCTTAGTGAGAAGTCTTATACTTCATACCACAATTTTAAATCAATGATTACACGAACTAATAAGTTTTAATATAGAAAGGAATGTATTTTTTTTTCAATCATATCTGAAAAATTTTAATAATTCTTACGGCAGACTGAAACATTAGACTCTCCCCTTCCCCACTCACCCATCAAGCTCCATGAGAGGGAAGGTCGTGCTGGCGACATGTTTGCCAATAACATTGGGGTCGCCAGGTGTCTTCTAAATTTTCTTTCCTTTTTTTTTTGGTCAAACCTGAATTTTCTTTCTGAATTTTATGGTGATGGTACCTTGCTTGTCACGTTACTTGCTGAATTTTCTTTACAAATGTTCAGGTTCAGGGGACTTGTGCCCTAGAGTTGAAACTTCTAATTAAGAGTTGTGCTAAATTGGTGCTAAAAAAATTGGCTTACGAAAACACATTATTTTTTTCGGTTAATGTACCTATCATTTCCAACCCATTTTGATCTTAATTTAGGTTAATATCTTGAGTTAAGATCAAGGATACTAGGCTCAGGTCTAGGTGACGGATGCCAACTTGGACTAACAATAACGTGTCCAACTGTAGGAACTCTGGTTTAACAAGTAACTTAATCTACTGGATGGAAAATGCTCTGTTTCAGGATGGTTATTATAAAATAGAGAATAAATTATATGACAAAAGACCTTCATACTATGGATGCTTAAAATCTAACAAACGCCTAGGACTGAGGGTGTCCAGAAACTGCAAGTTGCCTCGAGCGATATTGTGTTGCGTTTCTTTCTGTATTAGACTAGCAAGTAATTTTGTACCTTTTTTTTATAGGACACTCAACACCACTTTGAATTCACCCAGAATAGTTAAAAGACTCATCTTTGACACCCAAAGCTTCTTCGTTGATAGCTTTCCAGCCCATTATTCACAACACTATGTAGTGATTTCTGACCCTACGTATGGAACATGATAAAAGCTTCAGCCTCTGTTTTCTTATCCTCTTCAAGAAATACAGTAAAATCATAAGAAACAATAATTGTATCTTAATCTTTCTTTATCTCATCCCTTCATAAAACCATGATCGACCCATTGATTTATTTTCAAGCCACTCGAATTAGAGATTTTTTAATTCCCTTTTCATGTTTTACAAGATTATGAATTCACTAATCTCCTCTCTTATTGTTTGTTTGTAATATATCATTTCGGATTCATCCCAAAACTGTTAAATAGTTAGTGAGCAAAAGAAAAATTAACTTTTTGACGGAAATTAGGTGAAGATATATGTTTGATATTCATATAAAAATTAATGTTTTAGGGGCTAGATTTTGCATGAAATGGGGGTGCCATAAGTAGTGTCTAGCGACTTTGGGTAAAAGGATTCGTTTTTTAACATTAACATTATAAAATCAGCAACCGGTCTTTAAAGAGTGCTGTTAACATGAGAAATAGATGACTCAATCTAATGTGAAACCAAAAGTAATCTTGTATATTTATTTTTCATCAAATAATATATCAATTAACCACAAAATAATCAATGATCAATAAATAGAAGAATGAACGAACTACTGTCAAACAGAAGGGCTCGGTCCTATTTATGAGCTCGAGATTTCTTTGAAGCGGTTTTCCATCCCCTTTGCCGAGCTCTAAGCTCCCACAAAGCAGTTTCTTTCATCTGATTTTCAAGTGCTGCTTCAGCTCTTTCCCTAGCCTCCTCACATGTCTCCATCCCTGAATTGCATTTGTCAGCTTCCTTTTGATACTGTGATGCTATTTTCTTAGCCTCTAGAAGTGTTGTGTCTGCAATTCTTTGTTTTTCCTCAGCTTCAGCTTCCTTTTGCTTTACTTCTTCAGACAAAAGAGCTGTAAAACTGTTCCCCACCTCTTCACTCACCTCTGGGTCTTGTCTCATGCAATCTGTTGTATACTAAATATAATTTGAAATTGTCCACAGATGAAAGGAAGCAGAATTTGAAGTCTCTAGACATCCCTTTTGGAAGTATTATCCAATACTCCAAAAATTCTGTTAGTTTCCTTCCCCTATATATCAGACTAAAAGTATTTTATATATTAATACGTAAACATTATGTTACATCTCTAATAACATGGATATAATTAAATATAACACATTATTATTCTCACTAAGATGATCTTACAGAAAAGAGAATTTACCATGCTTAAGAAATAAGCCATTTTATCCCATAATCTATTTGATTTCGTTAATAATGAAGTTAACACATAAAATAAACACATTTTACATGAGTGGGCATTGACATGTGGGCATAAAGACTCATATCACGCGTTACTTCAACACTTGATTGTGCCAATGCTTCCATCGAAGTTAGCGAGAAAATTTATTTAAACTAAATTAAATTTTACACTCTTCCAAAGAATGCGAGTGGCTGCAAACACTGAGGATCAAAATACTCTCCCACGATTTTTTAAAAGGATAATCATCACACATACCTGTTGCTTTTATTCGGTGTAATAAATGGGAAAGAAAAGAACTAACCTATTATGGAATTGTTGGTCAATCCTGCAGAAGAAATTAGCAATTAGCAATCAATGTCCTAGCACAGGAAATTGAGAAACAACATCTACTGTATCAACTTCCCTATTTTCATTTGCATGGCCACATATTCTGCAGTAAAGTTCAGTAATTGATCAAACTATTTGATTGGCCAATCCATTAATCGATCCCACTGAGCCTTAGAAATCACGTGTAGAAGAATGTATTTACCAGAATTATAATGCATGTAATCGATAATGAATCAACACTTGCATAACAAGTTGAGCAGATGGTGTTTCGATTTTCACATTTTGAAGGTAACAATAAATAAATAAGATCTTCCTAGATGAAATTTACAAGCCAACAAATAAACAATTTAATAATAATAAAAAACAAAACTCAAATCTCTGTCATTTCTTAAACACACATGATGATGATGAAGGGGTTATTTTGTGCTAAACGAAAAACGAAAAAGAAGGTAGAGGGTACCTTGAGGGAGAGAAAGAAGGGGTTGAAGAGAGCAATCACAATGGCAAGGAGGGCAAGGAGAAGAGGCGGAGCTGAGGGTCTCGTTGAGATGCCAATACAATGGTCTTCCTGCAATGTAAGCAGCTAGAGAGAGTCCAAGAATCCACATGAACAATTTGAACGCTCTTTGCTCCCTTCTGTTCATCTTTTTCTTAATTTGTTTCTTATTTTGATTTCAGTTTTGTGTATTTGGCAGTGAACTGAGGAAGAGGATCTTGACTGCCTAATTGGTTAAGCTTTGGTTTCAAGATTCGCGTATCTGTCTCACTCTCACCTTTCGGCCAAAACTACACCCTCATGTTTACGTGTGTCTCTCTCAAATTAAATGCGTAATATATATTCTTGTACTATAATATACTCTCTCTCTCTCCTTATTAGTCATTTCTTGTTTCGGTCATTCTATTGTGAATTAATCAAATTCAAATTCAAGCTTGCTTATCTCAGTTATAAGTCCCTTGTCAACTACGATGAATACATGAGTGTGTTAGCTTTTGTGGATATTCCGTTACATTACATAGTAAATCAGTAGTACATGCTCGCGACATGAGACTAACTTTCTATATCAAATAATTGATACATCGTATAAATTTTTTCTCTATCGTTATATATATATATATATATATATATATATTGTATTTACGTGTGCATGTATGTATCTCAAAAATATTTTTTGAAGTTAAAAGAGACAGCAAAAGTTATTTCTCTTTTGTTATAGGGAAAGGCATTTTTTGAATTTTTTTGACACAATGATGCACTCAATTATTTCTTCATTTTTGTTTCAATAGTTAAAAAAAAAATATGGCCAGAAGAGGTGAACTGTTTCAAACTTTTAATTAAAAGATTTTTTTAAAATTTTTTTTGCATGTGCTATCTGAAAGAAACAACGCACAACCATATTTTATACCAAAGCCATTTAATTAAAGGTGTGGTGATTTCATTATGATCACAAAAAATGATTAGTTAGACAATAAACACTATTTATAGCCCCCCCTTTTATATACTTTCTGTTAAATACTTTTTTGATTAGTTAAATAATATATTTTGTCTAGGATTATAAATATCTTCATAGAAGACAATTCTATTCAAATTAAAAACATCCACAATACAGGGAGATGAAGATTTTTACACAATTTTTCTTTTTTTATAAACAAGACTCAAATCTAAGAACTTACTAAAATTAATCAGGAATATATCACTTGGACCAACCATCCATTAGAATTAAACAATATGCCTTTTTTAAGTTATACTGATTATGTAATTTAAAAAAAAAAACTGTTTTGATACTTTTTAAAAGTTTTTATAAAATTCTAAAAACAGTATCAGTATATCTAATTTCATCTAATTATTAATTGAAAAAGAATAATTTATAAATAATTATAATCATTCGATACAAAAAATGGAACAAGCGTTGGTGTAATAGTAGAATTGCTGGCTTGGGAAGTGGTCATAGGTTCAAACCCAAAAAATTGCCTCTGTGTAGGAGTAAGGTTGGGTACATATATTTATCCCCCCAGACTCCACTAGACAGGGTGAAAACAAAAAGAAAAGATTCCACTAGATTTCAGCCTTGTGCACTAGCTGGTAAGTTATCGGCCCATTGTATAAGACTTAAGAAACCTCTAATGTCATGTCAACCCAAAAAGACAAAAGAAAAGAAGTTTTCATGGGTCACAGTCTTTGATGGAAGTCCAAAAACATTTCAGAGGCACCACAAGACACTTCTTGAGTGTCAGCCAATCTTGGAAATACTCCTGTTTAGATAACATTTCAGCATATGTTATTGTGGCTACTTTCAAGGTTAATGTCCACTTCCTCCATTTTGATCATTTCCTTCCTCAAAATTTCTAGTGTATACACTATTTCTTGAAACTGAGGGTGTGAGTTGTGATCTGTGAAAAATGTAGTGATGTTACCATGTATATCAATAAAGCTCCAGCCAGGAATTTTTCTCAAGCCAAGAGATCTCATATGGGTCCATGCCTCACCCACTTCTTCCCATTTGTTTATTGAAGCATAGCAGTGAGCTAGTTGTACGTAATTTCCAGCATTCATAGGCCTCAGTGTGAGAATATCATTGGCAATTGTATCACCAAGTTCATTATTATCATTTGCTCGACAAGCATCAAGGATTATGCCCAAAACATCAATTACAGGATCAGAGAACATTTTCTTGTACAAGTTATATGCTTCCTCTACCCTCCCAGCACGACTGAGGAGATCCACCACACATGCATGGTGTTCAAGATTTGGTGTAATCCCAAAATCTTTAGTCATTGATTCATATATGTTTAAGCCCTGCTCTACAAGTCCATTATGACTACAGGACGATAAAACTGAGAGGAAAATCACATGGTTGGGTTTAATGCCACTTTCCAGGAATTTTGAGTATAACCTCAATGCATTCTCCCCTTTGCCATGATAGCCATATCCTGCAATTATGGCACTCCATGAGATCAAATCATGACTTGGCATCTGGTTGAAACACATTTGGGCAGTATCCAAATCACCACATTTGCAGTACATGTCTACCAAAGAAGTGTCAACCAGGATGCATGGCCTAAGGCCATTTCTTATTACAAAGCTGTGGATCCATTTTCCGAAGTGGAGTTGCCCAGTGGATGCACACCCTTGGAGGAGGGAAACAATAGTTATTGAATCCGGCATTTGATGATATAACCTCATTTCATTAAAAAGGAACAAGGCCTTGCAAACATTGCCATTTTGAGCATATCCAGTAACTATGGCATTCCAGGAAACCAAATCCCTTTTGCTCATTTTATCAAACACAATGGAACTCTGATCCAAGTGACCACACTTTGCATACATGGTAACAAGAGAGTTTTGAGCAGCAATATCCAGTGGTAATTCCTGCCTTAATATATAACCATGAATTGATGTCCCTAAATTAAAAGACCCAAGTTGTGCACAAGCTGTAATTACACTGGCCATAGTAGCAGTAGATGGCTTCACTCCAAATTTTAACATCTCACGGAAAACAGCTAGTGCCTTGTCTGCAGAATCATTCTGCACAAGGCCTGAGATCATTGCTGTCCACAAAACTACATCCGTATCTGAACAGCTTTCAAAAATTTGAAATGCTGTGTCAATGTTCCCACCTTTTAAGTACATTACAATCAATGATGTTTCAACGTATGCGTCCAGGTCAAAACCAGCTCTTAAAATCTGACCATGCAAGGACCTGCCCAATTTCAACACACCCCTTGATGCAATCACAGACAAGATGGACCCAAAAGTTTGTGGGTTAGGCTCCAAACCTTGTACTCTCATTGTCTTGAGAAGTAGCAAAACTTCACATAGATCCCCAATCTGAGCATAGGCTGATATCAACGAATTCCAAGAAACCAGGTCCCTTTGATCCATGTGGTCAAACAATTTCCTAGAATCCTCAATGTGTCCACATTTCCCATATACATTCAGCATAGAATTTGACAATCTTATATCAGACATAAACCCATAAAAAATTGCACAACCATGCAAACACTGCACATGAGCAAGCTCTGAAACTCCAGCCAGCAAGCTCAACATGGTAACACCACTGGGTTTAATTCCCTGGCCACGCATTTGATCAAACAAAGAAAAGGCTTCTCGAACTTGATCCATGTGCGCATAGCACCCAATGATGGTTGTCCAAGGTACAACATTCCTGTCAGGCATAAAGTCGAACACTTTGCGAGCAATATCAGAGAACCCAAATTTGGCGTAGAAATTGATCAAAGAAGAAGCAATGTAGGCATCAAGGGAAAACCCATTAACGAGGATGTGTTGATGGAGGGAAAGACCAAGGGAAAAGAGGTTGAGATAGGAGCAAGCTTTGAGAAGACTGGGGAAGGTGTAGGCGTCAGAAGGGACGTGGGTGCTGACCATAGAGGCATAGGTGACAAGAACTTGATGGTGAGCACCTTGGGATGAAAGGTGGTTGATAATAGCATTGAATGAGTTGGTGGTGGCTGAAGCCGAAGCTGAAGATGGGTGTCGCACCGTCACCACACACCGTTTTAGGCCACTTGGAGTCAGCACCAGTTGCGGCTTTGGCTTGTATGTCAACATGACCCATTCCTTATGATTCAGCCAAGCTCGAATATGAATGGCTCAGGGCATAAATGGTTTAAAAAACCCCTCTAAATAGGTAACGATAATATAACTACACAAGAAATTGACTTAAAACCATCTAAGCACTGCGCTCTGTTGATGCACTGCTATAACCTATAATTGTACTGCTTGGGAAAGTTTTTATTTCGGAGTAAAATCAATTCTTATTTTATAATCTTCGTAAAATGAAACTTCATTTAGAAATAAATTAATTTTCAAAATTTGTTATTTATGTACCCCAAAAAATTGTGATTCCAAACCATTAATTGGTGTAAAGGGATATAATTCTTAATGCTCTTTAGTACAAGATTATCTTGGTCAGCTTCAGTTGAATAGGTTGAAAATTTTTAGTGCCCTGAGACCATGGACATCCGTCATCATGCGTGCAACGTATAATGACAATTTCAAGATTATTATCTTGGTTCAGCTTCAGCTGAATAGGCTGGTTTTCTCATTTGACAGAAATTAGAATACAACGTTCAGTCTTGAAGTTTATTCCGAATACACAGCTCTCCCACAGCTTACTAACTACCATCATCATGCTCATGACTATATTTATTTCCAGCTTATTTAGTTAGTTCATGCTGCTCCATGACTTTGACTTGTGAATCTAAGCACCGCAATACCAACACACATAAAAAGAGGGCAGCTACTCCTCTTCTTTCAGTGGCTATTCTCTAGGCCCAAATATGGCAGTTCCAATCCTAACAGTTGTACTTCCCATCTTAATCTGCAAAATTAGAGTTATGCTGGTTAAAAAAATATTCTGATGCTATCACAATACTTGTCCCTTCAGTTTAATCCATCTATTTTCCACGGAAAAAGAAGGATTCCTTACAGCTTGTTCAAAGTCTGCAGTCATGCCCATTGACAGCTCACATTGCGTTTCTGGTATTCCAAGTGCTTTACAAACTTCACTTCTACAATTGGATAACGTCTGGAGAGTGCAAAAGAATATTTAGTGCGGAGAAACATCTAGAAGACTAGATAGTAAGTCCAGAAAACCCAATAAATCATGTCCAGAATGCTTGATCGTCACCTTAAAATTTTCTGGGGTGGATGTGTAATCCAGCATGCCAATTGTCATTAAGCCACAAAACTCAAGGTTTGGGCAGTTAGTAATATGTTTTACAAGGTCCACACACTGAGCTGGTTCAACACCAAATTTTGCTGCAAGAAAATAGTAGTCAAATGACATTCTTGAGATCGAGATAAACTGAAAAACATTGGCAACAATGTTTTTTCAAGGACAGAAACCAAAAACAAATAATGTAGGGCAGATTGCAAAATCATTCAGCCCATTCTAACAAATGAGTCACAGATTTACATATAAATTTCTGATGTTATATCAGTGATTTGCTAAACATAATTTCAGTAAAAGATTGGAATTGGAAACACTAATTTTTTGTATTCTGATGCTATTTTCAGACTAATCTACTAGAAGCCATGTAAAATAATTTGGGTCAATAAACTTCTAATGCAACGAAGTCAATATTATTAAGATACTGTAGATAGTGAATTGTTTAGCAAATCTGTCGAGCTTAATTTACATGTTTCTCCACTTGTATTCACTTGAACAAAAACCTTCAACGGTTTCCTTCCAACTTTTTCTACGGCAAGGTCAAGAAGATTTGCTATCTGCCAACAAATTAAAGAAAGAAAAAGCAAAAATAAATGATCAGTGCAGCTTTTGCAAAAAAATATACTAAAGATCATGTATGCACTAAATCAAAATATCTTGTTTGATAGAACATTTTAGGAAAACTATTTTCGATAACAATTTAAATACATTTTATAGTATAGAACATAATTATTAAGAAATTTAAAACAATCATGAATAGTTAATGGGGCAAAATTGAACTTCAGACTATATGTAAAATAATAATTCTTGTACAACCCCAAAAATTCCTTCAGCTGCAGTGAGGTGTGCAACTAGTTTAAGGCCTGTCTACAAAGTTACCATTCAAATGCATACCTCCCAAGAGAAATACCCGAAAATATTTGATGAAACTCATCATATTACAACCAATTCCAAGGTAATCTATATTACCCGCAAATTTAAAATTTATGTAAAGTTTACATTCTTATATACACTCATACACTTGAAACGCAACTAAAATGTGTACAAAAACCTTCTCCGCCAACACCAACATCGAAATAAACAAAAACATTTACCTTCTCATCGTCTACAGACTCTACATAAGCAAGGTTGGGAACACCAGCTGCGACATCAAATGAACAACTGAAACATATTAGCACCTCAATTTTGAACCGAAGTTATTAACGTGGTGATGATTTTAACTTATCTCCACAAAATACACAAAATGGATTAGCTAAGTTCAACAATTAAAGCTTGCATACGCGACACTTGAAATGAATTTATATATAGAGAGAGAAAGAACAATGACATCGTAAATTTGTCGATGAAGGAGAAATTTATAGGTTGGAAAGAGCGCGCTCGTATATCTAAAGAGCGAACAAAGGTAAATTTACGAGTAATAAAAAAAATTAAGCAATCCTAGGGACGTGAGGTTCAGAGGTTGAAACAGGAATTAAATCGCATACCGATAAGAGGTTTCACTTTGTTGCTCTGTAAATTGCCGATTAAATGCCACTCGATATCATCTGGAAGCTGCTTCGGACATCAAATCCAAGCATCGAGAATGAAGACACAATAGAGAGAGAGAGAGAGAGAGAGAGAGAGAGAGAGAGATGAATTGATGTAAGTAGTATTAACCTGAGGAGCTTTTTGAAGAAGTTCCTTAACGTAGTTCTCGCCGAAGCAGCGGTGGCCAGCGTCGTAGACCTGACGGAGAGCGGAAATTGACTTCGTCTTGCTTGCCGCCACCACACGGATCTCTTCCACGTTTCGGCCGGACCGTTCGGCGGCTTGTTGGACGCGGTGGAGCACCGACTTCAGTGGCGTCGCTGCTCCTCCGGTCTCCACGGCGGTAGACGACGCCATGCTTCGCAAGTGCCATGTCACTCACCAACTTTCCACATATATAAAGCATCTCTACCATGGGCACTGGGTCTCATCAATCACGTTACACTTTCAAATCACGCCAAAAAATTCCACCCTAACGTTAGCAGAAAAATTTGTATTTAATATATATTATTTTACATGTCTTCCTGTTTTATTGTTCGATAATGTATTATTTAACGAAATTATATGTTTTTGGTCGACTTTTTTCAGCTTAAAAATAGTAGTTTATGTTATGGATTTCAAGTTTGGGCTGGACTTGATTGGCTTTGAGTTGGATTTAGTAAAGATTTATATTTGGGCTTGTTAGAAAGTCAATGGTGTAAGTTTCTAGCTAAACCATGTTAATAAGCATGAAACTAAATAACTAATTAGTTGAGCTCCAACTACTCTGTTTTTGTGCCTAAACACAAGTTAATAACCAATAAGCATGAAACTCAGCCAATTATTTTTCATGACATCAGAATTGCATACATTGAAGTAACAGGCTAGCCATATATCATCAAAATATGTGAAGCATGCAATCCAAATACACCACTGATCCTACAGTCACCAACACTAGCCACACAAGCTTTAATTTCTGTGCAAGACAATGCCCAATCAAGCCTTCCTTTGCCTTCACAGTTTCAAGTTCAACTGATTAATTATTGCATGCCATTCATCCCCTCCAACTTCTCAAATGGCTAAGTCATGAATCATGTTTGTTCTCCATCTAAACTGAGAAGAGACTTGAGAGATAAAGGGAAAAAAAATCTCATATCATGAGGCTGATTCTGTTTGTTAATTTAAATCTGAAAATTGCCTCATAATATTTGGAATAACATAGAAACTATTAGCCTTTGGTTGAATCTCCAAGTTTTAAGTCCTTCTTTCTCCTATGTTTACTTTATTTGCTTTGTTTTGGAGAGTCGTATCTTAGACTGATTTTAAATGTTTCGTGCTATTTGTGGCATGTTTCAAAAATAAAATCCCCTTCTCAGCAGTCTAGCCATTATGCTAATTTGCAAGACATGATGAAAACCAAAAAGTAAAGATTTGAATGACAATGCAGGAGCGTGACCTGTTATTTTTATTTTGAAAGATTAAGGTTTATGTTTATACAAAATTCGCATAAATTATATGTTTATTGTTTAGTAATTTGGTACAACATTAATTAATATGTCATTGTCAATTAACACAATTATTGACATCGACCAATCAGAATTAGACATAAGCATGTCCTCTTAATCCATATTGTAACGTCCTGAGTTTTGTAACTCTAATTTAATTATTAATATAAGTGTGTGTATTGTTATTTGAATATACATTTAGAGTTATATTAGTGATGAATATATATATATATATATATATATATATGTGTGTGTGTGTGTGTGTGTACACTTATGTTGTAATTGAACTGTGAATGTTGACTTGTGATTGGATTGAAAATGCTTAAGAATATAGGCTAATGTGGTGTTATAGAAGCATTTTTGCTGTAATGAGAAGGTTCTGAGCAAGTTTGCAAGTCTCTCACTGTAGCGAGAGAATTTTCGTTGCAGTGATAAGGCAACAAAGAAGAAGTAGTTTTTTGGGTTCAGTCTCGCTGTAATAAGATTATGTAAAAAACAAGTGTAATTTTATCTGATATTTTCGCTGTAACAAGTGACGTCTCGCTGTAGTGAAAATGTCGTAACTCTTAGAGTATTTGAGGATTTTATGATTAAGGAAACACATTTCTTCACTTCCCTTCCATCTTTATCTCGTCCCTCTCAATCCCTAACCCTATTCCACCGATTAAAGGGCCTCCAAAACTTGTGGTGCTCTAGATTGAAGGTTGTGATTGTGTTTTAGACATTTGGAGGTAAGTTTCATGAGTTAGAGTTTTCAATTTTCACCCTTCCTTTGTTTTCTTTATTTTACATGGAGTTTTCCATGTATCTTAGGGCAAAAATCTATATGGAGAACTCTTCTACCATTGATTGTGTCGTGAGTCTTCATTCCAAGGTAAGAAGGGACTCTACCCTATCTCTTTATGCTTAAATTTTATTTATATTACTAGACATTGAAATGTGGTTGAGGTAGAACATAGAAACATGCGTGTTTTGATGAAAATTTTGTATTGAGCATGATGTGGTAGATATTGAGTAATGTGTGTAATGAAATGGTTGAATGTGTGTATACGTGTCATATTTGAGAATGAATGTTATGAAACGATTGAGAATGTGGGTGAATGTGTGTGTGAATGACATGCTGATTGTGATTGTGGTGTGCTTGTAATGGTTGAAAACTATGAATAATTATAGCGATACACTAGGGGTGTAGAAGATGGGGGTAGAAATACCTTAGAGAAAAGAGGGTAGTCGTAACATCAACAGTGAGCGTGGGTGCACCACAAGCCACACAATCTTCTCCTGACTCGGCTTCTAACCAATACCTTTGCTAAGGAGCTCGTAACCGCACACGTTGTATCTGTGAGGCAAGGGCTAACCAGCGACCATCCGTGGTATGAAACTGAGTAAGTTGCTAAAGTTGAGGGCGTCAAGAAACTATGATCACAGTGCTACAGTGAACGTGACTAATGTGCAGTGAGCGCACATACATGTGTGGATTGATTGAAAGTGTAGTGAGTACACCCGCATATGAATTTGTGTGTAATGATGATGTGTGTGGTTGACTTGTTATGGTATTGTGAATGTGATGTGAGTTGTTATAAAGAATTATATGATGCTTGCTTAATGTATCGCTAGTTTGTTTGGGAAAATATTTGAATGTGCAAGGTAAGTCTCCATGTTGTGTTTGTGACAATGTAGAGGGCTCACTCTTACATTTTATTTTTCAGGTGACCAAGATGATCAATACTAAATTCAGTGAATGAGATGAATAATATTGTTTATAGGACTTAAATTTTATTTTGAAATTTGCTATTTATTAAATGAGTCCTATAACATTTATTTTGATTGAAATTGTAACCTATCCCATATTTTGAAATACTTTATCAAAACATTGCACTCAAAGTCATTTGAAATGAAAACTTTATTATCTCCTTTTAAATTGTGAAAAATATTTTATTTGAAATAAATAAGATGTTACACGTATTCTATTTATCAAGAAATTATTTATCCAGAATCATCTCTAATTAATCAGAGTTATGTAATTAATTATAAATTCCAATTCTAATAAAATTATAATTTAAAGTACAATTTCAATTTCATGCGCGCCAGTCCAATCCTTAAGAATTTTAAAATAACAAAAGAAAAATATTATCAATCCTCACATTAGCATCCAAAAGTGATTTTGAAAAGAAAAGCAACGTACTAAATTTGGCCATCCTCAACATAAAAGAAAACGATAAACAATATGTCAAGTGGCATCCTAAGTTGTACTACGTGGTATTCGTTGACCGTTTAGCTAGTTCAGGTCTATCATTATCCTAATTAACGCTACCGTTCGGATCTCACAAGCCAGGGAATATAAGGAAAAAGTATGGAACAGAAACAAAAAATATGGCAAAAAGTTTAAATATGAATATTTTTATATGTCCAAATTAATCTATCACTTGCATTGGCTAGAATACAACTAAGGTCAAACTATGCTATTGGAATGTATGGACAGCATGGTGGTTCTGTAACTGTTTCTGGTTTCCGTAGACTGTAGATAAATGACTACGTTTCCTTAAGACTTTACATGCGACATGGCTTCATGCATGGTCAACTTACAATTAAACCAATTTTAATCGACATATATTATTCTAGGCGCGTATCGTATGTATTGTAGTAGTTTCATTTTGGTATTGACATCTTGAACATAATATATATTATATGTCGTGTTTTCTCCTCCATTTTTCAATTGATTAGTTAGTGAGTTTTGAAATTCTTGCCAAGAAGCCTAACTTGGTATTCACAAGTAATTTGGCCGTTGATTTAGACCACTCCACTAGCTAACACTAAACACGCAGAATATTAATTAGCTCATCATGCATGTAATCTATGCAATTGCGAGACACCGTGAACCTCCTCGTCTTCTATAAATACTTGGAGTATTCTTCTGAATCAAAACATCCACCCCATTACTTCATTAATTCCACTTCTTCTATCTCATATAACACAAACACAAAATAATGAAGTCCTTGAACACCCTCTTCATTCTGGCCTTGCTAATGGCTCTGGCCATTACTCTGTCAGCAACATCTTCCGAAAATGAAGAACCAAACTTTTTACGAGGAACAAGCCGCTTCCTGTCTCAGAAAAAAGGGAGGGTGGCGTTGGCATGTGACAAATACCCCAACATTTGCCATATTAAAGGAAGCGCAGGTCCTAACTGCTGCAACAACAAATGTGTCAACTTTTTCACAGATAGTTTCAACTGCGGAAGGTGTGGAAAGAAATGCAGCTTTGGAAAGATGTGCTGCGATGGGAAGTGCGTGAACCCTAGGACTAACGAGAAGCATTGTGGAAAATGTGGCAACAAGTGTAACGCCAAAGGTTCATGTGTTTATGGTATATGCAGCTATGCGTAGAGTTGAAAGCATTCTTTGGATCAAGAGCTAGAGCGGATCAATAACGCAGCCATCCACACTTTATGGTTGTGCTAATTATTATACATACATACATATACATATATATATATATATATTTAAATTCTTTGCATTTGTTGATCGGTTGGTTTGTATGAATAATAATAGTTTATTTCCTTGTTATTATCTGAATGTTGTCAATTAAGAATAACTTGTAATATTGGTTTGTTTATGAAATAAAATAATTATACATGTTTCTTACTTTCATTATAGTTTTATTATTTTAATTTTTTAATGCAAATTAAATGATACACAATAAAAAACTAAAAAAAAAATTACTAAAAATTTTAGTATTTATTACTTGCTTCATCATTAAAAATAAAATAAAAATCGAACACAAAAGGTTTTTGTAGAAACTAAAGTATATTGGACGAAAGTGATAAATTCCTACTTCCGCTGAAATCAATTTTGTTTGCTACACAAGCAAGGTATTAATATGATTAATGTATTATATTTTATGATATGTTATAATTTTTTTTAAAAATAATAGCGTTTAATTTTTTTAAAGTATTATATTTTATAACTTTTAATTAAATTTATTATATAAAAATTATTCTTATGTACCCTTAGATACTTATTAAAAAATTATTGTCAGTTAAATAATCAAAAAATAATTTATGTGATACTATATATAATTTTTTAAATTTATTTTTCATATACATTTTTTAAAAGTATACCTAAAAGTAGAAGGGATAAAAGGTTATTCTAAATATATTTATACCTTTTTCATAATTTATACTAAAATATTTCTTGTATATGTAAAAAATCTCTAAAAATATATTCATCTATCATATCTAAATGCGCGACCCGGATCAAATATAGATTTAATCAGATAAAAAAAATAATTTTTTTATTAATTATTATCAATGACAAAACTGTCATGAAAAATCTTTCTAACCTATATTTAAGAGTAGACAATATGTATAATAATTTTTATTAAAAATAATAAAATATTGTAAAATTTAATACATAAATAATATTATATTTTTAAGAAAATTTTACTATATTTTATTTCTTTAATATATGCTTGCACATGTTAAAAATGACTTTTTTTTATTTAAATATTTTAATTTAAAAATAATTTTTTATTTATTAATTTTTTAAATTAGTTTTTGGTCTGAAGTAAATCTGGCCACATAACAAATGTTTCGTTGATACTGCTAGAAAAATTTACTAATTTTTATTTTTTTAAAAATAAATTTTACCACAAAAAAGAAATGAAACAGTACAATTTTACTAGTTATTAGACATACAAAGTTTTGCCATACAATTAACAAAACTTGGTTAACAATTTTTTCATTAAAAAAGCTAAACATATATAATAATTACACGTAACACATTTTGATGATGACAATGTTCATTTGAATAAATATCATATGCTTATTACTTTAAAAAAATTATTAGAGATCGTGCAACGTGTGTGACCACGCTTTTGTACAATTGTAGTCTATTTAGAGCCCACACGATTAGTGGAAAAATTATAATAAAATGTTTTGACAACTCGTCTTTGATTAAAGTATGGAGGAGGGCAAATATCAGAGAACAAATGTGGTTGCCGGAAGAATAAAAATGGAAGTTAAAATCCTCGTGCATGGTTTTGCAGACGCACGTGCCCTTCCTTGGATCTATGGTAGGACATCTCTATCAGTGTTGTATATATTAGAATCGATATTCTAACCTCTATTTTTTGGATCACATAATAACAAATCTAAAATTATAAACTAAATTTTTTAAAATATTTATCTAAAATCCACTCCAATCCACTTTTGCACAATTTTATGAGTTTGGTCGACTTCGGGAATGTCTACCCCTGAGGCGTAGAACCTTAATAAGTACCCTATATAATTTTATATTTTTATTAAATAATAATATATAACATCTTTTATTTTTGCTTTCTTTTAAGAGATTTAACTATGTTTTATTTTATTTTTATATTTTTATATTATTAGTAATTTTTTATTAAAAAACTTAAATTCACACATTCGCGTCTATGCAACTCCTATTTCTCAAGTTCGTGAATCTAACAAATTTATTCTTCCAGGGTTTCTTAGTTAATTCATTTTTTTAATAACTAAAACCTTTTTAAAATGAATAATTTTGCTATTTTTACGAAGAAACTTATTTTTTAAAAAATAAACATTGTCATTATCGGAATGTGCCATATGTCATTATTTGAATGTTTCACTCTTTTTATGACAAAAATGTTCATCAAGTTTAGCTAATTATATGATAAAATTTTATCTGTCCAGCAAGATTTACGTTGTTTCGTGCTTTTATGGCAAAATTTATTTTTTAGAAAAATAAAAATTAATAAATTTTGTTAGCAGTATTGACAAAATATTTACCATGTGGCCAAATTTATCCTATATAAAGAAATAATTTAGAAAATAAATAAATAAATAATTTACTTTTTAAATTATAATATTTAAATAAAAAATCCTTAGAAACACGCAATCGAACATATTATTAATAAATAATTATTAATATTTGAAATATTGATATATACTATCATTATTACATGTATAGCATGGTATATTATGGTATATTATTAAAATTATATATATATATATATATATATATATATATATATATAATCACTACGTTATATTATTAGGATAGTACATTTAATTCATAATGATTATGTATAGTACTTCTTGTTAAAAAGCTTAAATTAATAGGGGTTAATTAAATAAGGAGTTTTTAATAAATATTTTTTGGAAGTATTTATTTATTTTTAAATATTATTATGAGTTGTATTTCTATTTTCTAAATATTACAGCTTTTATATTTAATTTTTTAAATATAATACATTTCTCATTTAATTATTTATTTATAAATATAAAATTTTTGGTATTTAATAGATTAAATTAAATAAAAAAATCATTAAAGAAACAATAACATGTACACACTAAGCAAATTATCTAATTGCCAAACATTTTATATTAGCATTGCTTAATTTAAAATAGAATTTCTTAACATGTACTTAAGAATATAGAATAAAAAATTAATAAATAATATTTTTTATTAAAAATTATAGCATTTAATGTAATTATTGAATTTCATGATATTTTATAATTTAAAAGAAAGTAAAGTATAACATACATACTCAAATCAGTCCTGCCATTTAATGTACTACAAATTGACAGGATAAATTATATTATACACAATTATTTGTATTTTATACTTTTTAAAAATCTTTTATATACATATACATCCTAGAAATATATATTAGTTATAAAGAATATATCTGGATGTCTCAAAAAAATTTAAATCCGTTCCTGTTATGATATTAACTAATAATAATATAAAAAGAAGGTTAGAAATATGTTTTCTTCATACACTTTTAATTATTAGTTAAAAATTATTAAAATTATAAAAATATAAAAAATGATTATTAAATTAAAAGTAAAAAAATAGAATCCAAATCATTTTTGTAATTAAATTAATTGATAATTAAGAGTGTCTTAAAAATATATTAAAAAGCATATTGTTAACATTTCTGATAATATAATTATGTTTAAGAAAAATATAATTTTTGTTAAATAAAAAACTACCATAAATAATTAATGATGAAACGTACTAATTAAATTTAGTAAAGTATATATTTTTGGCTACTCATATCATATCCAACAGTACATATCCAAACGTTAGTGCAAATTACGTTTCTGGTGTTCACACGGTCAAACTTGAATCACAAAATTAATATCTATACATACCCCGAACAACTGCAAAATATCTTAGATTGAAGTTGAACGTTGACTAGTGGCTCTGTAACGGTTTTTCTGGTTGATTCCAGGAAATGATGGGTTTCCTTGTGCTACCAATTAGTAAATGTTCCGTACTGCACTTGTATGTTTATGTTTAATCTCAGTAGTAAACTACAAATTGAAACCCACTGCGTAGAATTTTGCGTTCAATTAGTTCAAGTATGAAACACGATCAGCAAAACAACTCCTTATCCAGGACACACCGCTGTCTCATTTTCTAATATTTTCCAACTTTTCCACGTTTCCAAGTTAGTAGCTAAAATTCGTTACTTAACCACACATTTAGCTAGCTGTTGAATTAGACCACTCCACCAGCACCATGTTTGCATCCCTCTAGTTCAAACCACTACCTAAATCTCGCTGAATTCCTCCAATTTTCCTTCTATATATAGCTACCAAGCATCCTTCATTTTTCTCCATCAAATTAAACCACGATTAATTCATATTTTCACTCCTTTCCCAATTAAACTCTAACGCTCTATTTTCAGCCTTATCTCCTATACACACCAACACACAGCAAAATTACACTCAAATATGAAGTCCCTTCTTATACTCTTCCTTTTAGCCGTGCTATTGGCTTTGGTCATTGCTGATTCAGAAACACAACACAAAGAAGAATTACCGTTTTTCATCAATGTTAAAAACCACAACTCAACTAAAAATCCCGCTACCCCATCTTCTGAAAGCAAAGAATTAACCTCTCTCCGAGGGGCCAAAGGCTTGCATGGCCATAAATATGGGCGTGGGTTCATGACTTGTGATAAATACCCAAGAGTTTGCCGTGTCAAGGGAAGCCAAGGACCTGACTGTTGCCGGAAGAAGTGTGTGAATGTGTCAACGGACAGAAACAACTGTGGTAAGTGTGGAAAGAAATGCAAGTATTCGCAAATGTGTTGCAGAGGAAAATGTATTAACCCTATGTTTGACAAGCACCATTGTGGAGGATGTGGTAACAAGTGCAGCAAAGGGAATTTCTGCGTTTATGGTATGTGCAGCTATGCGTGATCAATCACAGAGGACAAAAACGCCAAACCAATCCCAATTGTTAATTAGTATCGATTACTTGGTATATATATATATATATAGAACTAAAGATATAATGAATTTGTTGCATGGATTAATAAATAAAATGCAAGTGATCATTATAGGATGATAGATGATCTTTGCCGCTATATGATATAATTTCATTACTTCTTGTATGTAACTATGATTAATTTCATTGGTTGTGGTTGAATAAATTAATTTATTGTAGCTGCATGTTTTGTTGTTGCTCTTGATTTAATTTACTACAAAACTCACCCAATACATTACATCGCAATGTATTCCTTAAGATGCATGAATTGTGACGTTACAATTTTATGCTCGTTTAATTAATTATAACTAATCGAATCAAGTATTATATATTAAATTTTATTTATTTAACAAATGAATTAGCAAATCAAATTTTCAAATGGTTTATTCAGCTTTACAATTTCGTGTAAAAACTTTTATACAATTTTCTATGAAAAGAGGCAATGATCAATTATGACATGATTCAATAAAGAAAAAAGATAAATATTTTCCTACAAATTGTAAAATAATTAGGTACATTGACCTTGGTAAACATTATTCCCTGATCTTATCTTTTTTTCTTTTTTTTTATTATAAGATATTTTATAATTTTAATAAAGTGTTTATTATTTTTTTTATCAATTTCCTGGTAATATTTTTTTCATCAATTATGACGTGATTCAATAAAGAAAAAAGATCATAAATATTTTCCTACAAATTGTAAAATAATTAGGTACATATTGACCTTCGTAAAGATTATTCCATGATCTTATCTAATTTTTTTTATGGTTTTTATTATAAGATGTTTTATAATTTTAATAAAGTGTTTATTATTTTTTATCATTTTTCTGCTAATATTTTTTTTATCAATTATGACATGCTCCAATAAAGAAAAAGATAAATATTTTCCTAGAAATTGTAAAATAATTAGGTACATTGACCTTGGTAAAAATTATTCCCTGATCTTATCTAATTTTTTCATGGTTTTTATTATAAGATATTTTATAGTTTCAATAAAGTGTTTATTATTTTTTATAAATTTTCTGCTAATATTTTTTGACCCAATAGCAGTTGTGTTCTATAAAATCAAGGTGAACAACGGTTTCCGTTTTAACTCTAATCAATTGTTCCTATATTATATCATCAAAATTTTCGTTAAAATATTTTCGTATCACTACTAATCATCTCTATAGTTTAGATACAATATTCCCACTTAAAGATATCTCACTCTTCTAATGCTTTTTTACAGTATCCAGTCCTCAGTTTCTTTTCGAGTAAATCCACTCAATTTAAGATCTATTTATAGAATCACATATGCCTACTAATTAAAGTATTAGTGAAAGTCATCTCAAGACTTTTCACAAAATTGAAAATTAAATTTCTGGTAAATATAGTGAGATTTATCAAAGCTAATAGATCATTTAAAATAAAAATCAGAAGTTCATACTTAAGAAAAGATATACTTATCAAGGGTGTCCTGTTTCTTTATTGTATATATGGCGAGCATGTTTAATTCAAGCTGTCAACTACCAACTATTATATTTTTCCCCAACGTAACCACGGTACATCACATCCATTGTTGGTCATCAATTTTGGTTCTAACATATATACAGGATTCATGACATAGATCCCAATTATCTAGTCAACCGACCCAAGCCCGTGCAAGTTGCAACCACGTCTTAATTTGTTGGGCAATGTGCGTGTACACTAATTCTTGACGATTAACTGTGAAAATATTTCACAGCATATATAGACCCTGCATCAATCGTGTACCCCACCTTCTCTCCCCTTTGTATATGTTATTAATTAATTGTTATATATCTATATATATAACCATATAACCCCTTCAACCATTTGATGCCTTAAACCCACAAGCCATGGCCACTTTAAGCTCTCTCCTAGTGCTCTCGTTCTTTCTACCTACCATAGTTTCAACACCTAATAGAGATTCAATAGATGAGTTCAACACCCTTTCTCCTATTCCAAGCTATCTCGCAAAGAGTCCTAAGAATGTTGACATGAACACAATAGACTCATGCTGGCGAGCCCAAACAAATTGGGCTTCAAATCGCCAATCTTTGGCTGATTGTGCCGTTGGTTTTGGCAAAGATGCCATAGGCGGTAAGTATGGGGATATATATGAAGTAACCGATCCCTCTGATGACCCCATTAACCCAAAACCAGGCACACTTCGTTATGGTGCAATCCAAACACAGCCCCTTTGGATAACTTTCGCCAATGACATGGTTATCACGCTGAAGAACGAGCTTATGGTGAATAGCTACAAAACCATTGATGGGAGAGGAGCTAATGTAGAGATTGCAAATGGGCCTTGCATTACAATACAAGGTGTTAGCCATGTTATTTTACATGGAATAAGCATTCATGATTGTAAACCTGGTAAGGCTGGCATGGTTAGGAGCACTACTGAGCATGTTGGGTATCGTGAAGGCTCTGATGGAGATGCCATTAGTATATTTGCCTCCTCCAATCTCTGGATTGACCATTGCTTTTTGGCTCGTTGCACTGATGGTCTCATTGATGTTATTCATGCCTCAACTGCTATCACTATCTCTAACAATTACTTCACACAGCATGACAAAGTAAGCAACAAAAAAGAGTTTTTTTTTTAATTTATTTTTCACCTTTCTTTTCATAATCTTATATAGTTATTATAGAGTCTATACTTTGGAAACTAATTTAATTCTTTAGTTTACATTCATCTCTGAGGATATATCAAAAATTACTTCTTTTCCAACTGCTATAAAAAATCATTTATCATTTTTTTTACTTGTTCCCATTAGTTATATAGACTTTAGTTAGTCTAATATAGAAATTAAATTAACAATATAGTATATCCTATTAATAATATGATACACCAATAACATTATCATATTTAGAAAATTATCTTTAATGTGATGTAAGATTCTATTAGAATATTCCTTCAATATTTAACTGCTTCATTCACCCTAAATAAAAGTTTATATCAACTGGAGCAAATCTAGAGACTACCAGTTTATGTAATTTTGGTTGTTGTTTTGGTAGTGCATACAGATACTGACTTCTCTCTCAAGTTAATTAAGGCAAAGTTTGATTTCATATGCCTAGTACATATAACGCCTACTAAAGACACTGCTATATATATATATATTGATGTATGTGGAACTAAACTAATCATAATTATGATCATGACCAAAATGGTCATCCCCCAAAACCAACATGTTAAGAATCATCCTGACTAAGCTAAATGCACTCCTTGCAGGTGATGCTGCTAGGACACAGCGATGAATACAGAGCGGATAGAATAATGAAAGTAACGGTGGCTTTCAACCGCTTTGCTAGCGGCCTAGTGGAAAGAATGCCAAGGTTAGAGTGGATTGATAGACAGAAAATTTCCTTTCTAAAGATTCAGTCACTTAATTTTCATATGTACTTATTTGGTTGAAGACATGCAGAGTAAGATTTGGTTATGCCCATGTTGTAAACAATTGGTATGACGAGTGGCTCATGTATGCCATTGGTGGCAGTGCCGACCCTACCATTTTTAGTGAAGGAAACTATTTTATGGCTTCAAATGATCCTGCTGCAAAACAGGTCAGAAAGAAATAAAAATTAAGTATGGGCCCGGGGATTTTCCATAAATGGCTTAAATATGTTTTTTTTTTTCTCAAAGTATATTAAATTTTATTTTTTTATTTTAAAAAAATTATACTTTTTATTTTAGTTCATGCATATTTTTTAATGGTCCCTCTTATTAATGTAAATTCATAAAGAAAAGGGCACATACATGATACAATATTTGAGTTTGTCATGTGATCATTTAACAATGCATAAGGATCAAAATTAATAATTTTAAAAAATATAGAGATTATAAATAAATAATAATAATTTTGTAAGGAATAAAATCAAATTTTGGTATACTTGAAGGATTAAAAATATATTTAACCCTTATCCCTTATAAATTGTAATAACTTAAATATAAATTAAGTGCTTCTCATTAAAAAGATAGAATTAATTTTTCAGATCTAAGACAAAGGAAACCTAACGTTTTTCAGTTAATGTATACACTGAGGTTGTTCCATCCATTGATGACAGGTTACGAAGAGGGAAACTAGTGAAAACTGGAATAGTTGGAAATGGAGGACTTTGGGGGATGAATTCTTAAATGGTGCTTATTTTGTGCCATCTGGGTATGGAAGTTGTACCCCATTATATTCATCGGCTCAAAGTTTTATAGCGGCTGAGGCATCCACGGTGCCTTTGTTAACTTTTAATGCAGGGCCACTGAACTGTGTTGTTAACTAATTTGGCCTCACATTTTCATCTCTTTTTCTTATAATTTTTTTTTAATGATTTTGTGTCATGAAGCTCCAATTTGGCATCTCGATTGTAAGGCATGCATGTACTAAAGTTATGTGGGGGAAAAGGAATTCTATGCAACCCATTTTCACTGACATTTTATACATCAGCTTGTCAGAAAATGAAATATAATTCGTTGCATGAGCAGAGTGCATCGTCCTTTTCTATTATCTCCAATACATTTCTGATTACATTCCTAATCAGTTTATAAATTGACATACCCTGCTCATATCAAATCAATTCCCAAAAGAGATGAAAAAATTAATACGATATATTTAAATAAGTAAAAATTAATAGTATGAACATTAACATAACGAAGAGTTTATTTATAGTATAAAATAACATTAATATATAGTAATAGTATATAGAAATATTTTGAATTACATGAACATTAGAAATAAAAATTTATCATACTCAAAATTGTCAACTATTTATTATGAGACTTTATTGATACGCTAGATAAAACATGAAAGTCGATGGCACCCAAAAAAAAAATTTAAAAAACTAAAATATAAGATAATTTTAAATTAATTAAATTAAAAAATTAAGATAATTTCAAATTACTAAAAAAATATTAACTTTAATCTTTAGAGTTATATTTAAGCAATTAATAACAGTAAAATTTTATTAAAAATATAATGTATATTTTTAATATAATAAATAAGTTTTTGCAATAATAATGTATATTTTTAATATAATAAATAAGTTTTTGCAATAAAAACATATTACTTTGAATACTTAAAATCAGCTTTAAGAGTTGAAATTAATAAAACTGTTAAAAAAATAGCAAAATAGAAAAATTTAAAATAATATTAGATTAAAATTTTTAATTAAAAAATTACATCCTAAATTAAAATTTTTAATTCAAAATAAAATCTTAAAATAATAAAACTCTTGCAGAATCTCTTGCTTTTCGTGCTTCTTACGACACCTTGCTTCAAGCTGGATCAATGCCTACTCAGAGAATGCAATCCTAATATTAGCCTAAGCAAGGAAGACACGTTGTTGAGAAAGCATGTTAGTTTTGCCTTGCATTTGCATTTCTCTCTCCCATTTTTCATGCTTTGCAGAGATGACACTTGCTAGATTCGTTTCTTAAGGATTGTTGTCAAAAAAAGTGTGAAAGACATGATTCTCCAACAGTGTGCTTTCTTTCCAATAAACTATACATAAAACACAGCTCCGCATTAATAAAGAAGAATAAGGCAAACTCTATAACTATGAATCAATATCAAGGCCTGTATAATTGTTGTATAAATAAATAAACACAATAGCTAAGGTGGAAAAAGTAACAAAAGGAAGAGGTGTTTGTTTATGGTTCACAATCACATCATTTGACCTGTCTTTAAAATAGCCTATTTTCGTTGCTTTGAACTCCACACGTTACTGGTGCTTTAGCTCTCACTTTCTTCAGGTACCAAATACCTGCTCCAATTCCAAATGCCCCGGCAACAGAAACGCCCGTAACTGTCCCTGCACCCACAATTCCAACACACAACCTTAAACATCAGCATATTTTTCACTTCATAAACTTATATCCACATGAATGTTACTTTACTTCTGTCACCTGCGATTACATGGACCCTCATATTGTGCCTTGCAACATCGTAATCTGCCAAACAAACAATAACATAATACTTTACTTGATAAAATAGGGACCATTCAAAACATCATTTTTCAGTGTACACATGATAAAATAGGAGAATGTATTGACCTTGGAACATACCTTTACAATGGGTAGTGGAGTTTCCATCCTTACACAGGCACATGAAACTCTGATTCTGTGTGTCAAATCCACAAGTTCCACCTCCTTTCAATGGATCTTGACATTGAAGACATCGTGTTGTTACCGGGATATCGAAATCAACTCTGATCCCATATTTAGGGACTTGATCATAAGGCTGAGGAGCACCAACGTTCCTCCAATAAACACTAGCATAACTAGTACAATACTTGAGCATCAACCTTAAGGATTCAGTGGCTTTTGGATAGTAAGAGCAACAAGAACTACGAGTGAGAGCAAAGGAACAGCTTGGTAAGTGCCTGCAGAGATAGCTAGCACTGTCACAGGAGGAATCACAGTGTTCAGGGAAGTGCTCACAAAACATGGGCTTTGGCTGAATGATGACGTTATCTTCACTGCAATTGAAGAACATGTACTCATTTTGAGGAGAAAGCTTGAAATGGGTGCTTGTGTCCAAACTGAATGGCCTTGTGGGACGAAAGTTCTCACCGTCTTCACAGTTCCACATGAATGGATCAGTGACCACAACGTGTGGATCAGCATAGCTCAAGTTATGAACAGGGTATCTACCTGAAGGGGTTCTGAGCTCAAGCTTTCCAGAGTCAGAACAAACAAGAATGTGTCTATAGTATGGGCTTCCACAGCCATCGTCAATGCCAAATGGGTATTTGATGGGAATGTCACCACAAGAAGTTCTGCAGATGCTGGATTGAGATCTTGTGAGGGTGAGAAATGATAATAGAATGAGATGAATAACGAGTGATAACATGGGTGTGTTGTTTTTGGTGTGAAGTAAACCCATGAGGGAAGGTGGCATTGATAGAGAGTTAGATCATAGATGATTTCTTTCAAGTAACTATGAAATGGTTTGGCAGAGTGTGGAAGAAAGAAGGAATATGGCTCAAGTGTTGCTTTTATAGCTTTTATTCCCTTTTGGTTTATTTAATCTATGCCTTTGTCCTCTTTGCTTGTTGCTTTTGCTTTCTGCATTATTAAGCTGGGGACAGAATGTCAGTGGACAAAGTTATGATTATTACAAATTCAATACAGTGAACTCATTACAAATTCGCCCAACCAAAGACTCTTAAACATTCAAGTCAAATCTTTCAGTACCAAAATGGCGTTTTACTTGTTGAAGACTCTTAATTCTTAAACATTGATGTCAATTTTTAAGAGTCGAGAACGTTACACACCTCATCGTCAAGCACTCCTTAGAACTAACATTAACACAAGGATTGGAGGAGCACTACTAGAGTAGAGGGAAGTAAGTGAATGGGCTTTGAATAATTTGGACGGCTCAGAATGAGGATTAAATCCATTATCACAATTATCTAAGCCTATTTATTTATTTATAAATATATTATTCATTGCTTTTAGTACAAACTTAATTTGGCATTTTTATTCTTGAAAAAATCATTCATTTACATCACAGGCACGTTGGTTTCTTTGGATTTAATTCCCTTGCATTTACTGCATGAGCTAAGCATTCGGTGTTTGTTCAATTAGTGGCCGAAGAGTGGTAAAGCAAAGAAATTGAAAGAGCAGGAGAATGCAATTTGGATGTTGTGGCCCAAGCCCAAGAAGGATTAAACAATTTCTTTTCGATATCTTCTGGGTTTTGGCCAAAAAGTTTGATTTCTTCTGGATTATGTGCGTACTAAAATTAACATTTAACCGGTACTTCTCATAGGTAAAAAAGAAAGAAAGAACTAGAGAAAGAAACACGTACATCTCGTGATTCTGTGGAATAAAAACTTCAATAAAATTTTATATTTTAATAAAAACTTCAATTATTATGAGGATTGGTTGGCATGACCACTTATTATTTCTTCAGATGGACTGGAAAGTTGGTAACTTGAAGATAACAATAAAAGTTGTCAAGGTAGAAAACTATTAAAATTTAGATTCAGAATCACTTGAAACAAGTCTCAAAGGCGTTCAGGATATTCATTGGATGGGTTATCTCATAATGATATTTTAACTACGATACGAGTTTAGTCGCACAGGATTTGTTATGACAGCGGATGTTTGGGAAGGAAGATTTTAAAAATTTGGAGAGGATGATAATTTTTTTATTTTAAAATAATGTATTAACATAAATATAATATATTAATCATATACTTTTTCTTTTTATAAATGATATATAATTCTCTTAGTTTAAAATTATAAAATGTATTCTTTCTTTTTTTCTAAATTTTTTTCCCAAACATTCTTTAAAAAATTAAATTTATCTAGACAATTTTGCCCTGCTTAATAGTTTGTTTATTGTAAAATTTAAAAATATTAATTAGTGTCTTTAGAAAGTTAAAAGTATAATAAAGTTTATTAAAAATTCTTCTATTATGCTTAATTTTTTATAATTAAATTTTTTTATATTAAACAAAATAAATTTCAAATAATATATCTTTAAAGAAAATTTAAAAATTCTTTTGTGTTCAAATTTTCATAATTCTTATCAGATTTAACTTTCACTTAAAATATCCTTTATTATTAATTTTATATTCTTTCAAGAATTCGTTTTTTTTCAAACATGATCTTAAAGTTTCAAAAACTCCTCTTGTGTTGTAATTATATTTATAAAATAAATTTAAAAAATATAAAAAAAATATTTTGTCACTCAATCTTTAATGTTGTTTCTTTAGCTTCTGTGGGTGTAACATGCGAAAGTTGGTTCATAAAAAACAAAAAAGTAGTCTTTTAAGGAAGACATGTTTTATTTTGAATGGGACTTCCGGTGGCCACTGCAACACCCACCAGCCAGCTCCTGGAATGGATCTGTTAGCTTGTCACGAAGACTTTTATTCGTTTGATCCTTTACTTTGTCTGGAAATATCCTCTTAGTGGTAGAAAATATGGCGAAATCTTGGGGAACGAACGCTGAAAGACTTTAATTAAAGAATTAGTAAGTAAATGAAATCCTAGCTAGACAAGCAGAAAACATTTTATTCCTGTGTCTCACTATTTGCAAAAAGTGATGGCCTTATGTTTCGCACTTGTTCCAAATATAATTGTTACTTTGACTCTTAAAGATATTTAGTAATTTATAATTATTAAATTTCACAAACAAATTATGAAAACTTAGTTTGCGGTTTGTGTTGTTTGTGTCATATATATAAGAAATTACATGTAAAAACACTGAATTATCGTGACATTGTGTAGTTAGTCATATTATTTTTAGATACATGCAATTAATTATAGTACA